CCAATATGTCAGCACAATACTCAGGTGGAACGTCTGTTACAACAGTATATGGCATTTCTTGTTCAGTGCTCTCATAAACTAAATCCCTGTCTGGTTCAGTTGTTGTGAGTAATAAATCTTCAGCCTGCTCACTTGTGACTTCTGTTACTGCAACTACAGGTCCAGTGGGAGGAAAAATAACTTCTTTTTCAACTATTGGAGAAGGCTCAGGGCTACGTTTAAGCCTAATAATTCCAGCGTCTGTCTCATGTATATCATCTTCTTCCACTTTAATAGGCTGCTTATCAAGTACATGTTTGTTGGGAGAGTCAATTACCTGATCATATTCATCTTTTTCATCTGACTCTGGACTTTGACTGCTCTCTTGAAACTGATCAGATGTATCTGTTATTTGAGATGTATTCATGTCCATAAGTTGAGAAGGATGGGGTGACGTTTCTTCAGATGGCATTTCCATATCATATAATGTTTGATCGGATGTTAGCATACCCTCTTGATCAGATTTGTGTAGCTCTTCCATCAAGCTTTCTGTTAATAATGTTGGCTCATCTGTAGTTACTGTCGACCGTTGCTCTGTCCTCTCTGGTTCAGCATGTGTGGGTTGTTCTATCACATCAGCTTGAAATGGTCCTTCACTTTGTTCAACCTCAATTTGAATAGGTGTTTCTTCTTCAATTCTAATTTCACTTCTACTATCATCCAAAAGGTCTCCAATTGATGAAGCTCTGCTGCTCTCTGCCTGAAGTATGTAGTCAGTTGGTGATAATGGTCTACCAGTGCTCTCTGGAGTTGAACTCATTATACCATCATCAATTGCAGGACTGTATTCAACTTCAGTTGGTCCATTAGATGTGCTAAATGGATCAATTAGCATAACATCAGCCTTTGTTTCAAAGCTATCTCGTTCAGGAAAGATATATGGTTTTGGTTCATCTTCTTTCAAAGAGAAATCTGGTATTTGTTCAATTTGCAAATCCTCAGCATGACTGGTTGGTTTGAATTCATCTTCTTTCAAATAAAAATCAGGGATTTGTTCAGTTGGATGCTTTTCAAATGGTGATGGTTCACTGCTGATAGGAGATGAGTGCTCAAAAGAAGAAATAGATATTCTTTCTGGAGGATGTGTAGCATCTTTCTGTTCAGCTCCAATTTGGCTAGCAGATATACCAGCAACACTCTGTAATAACTCGTCAGATATCTTTTGAGCATGTTCCATTGCAATCATATATTCAGCATAGTCTTCAAATTCTGATGGTGATACAACTTCAAATGGACTTGTTCTGGTTGCTTCATCTTTTGGCTTTTTTACCAAATCATCTTTATCATCTATTGCTACATCCTTATTAATTTGGCTATCATCTATATCTGCTGTGACCACCTCAAAGGGACTATCCCTTGAATGGGTTCCAACCTGTTCCAGATCCTCAACTTTAGTTACTTCTTGACCAAGCTGTAGAGACACCTCTGTTTGATCACTTTGCTCAGATGCAACTATCTCAAATGGACTTGATCTAGATGGTTCCATGCTGCTATCAAATTCTATACTGGCTTCAGCAGCAGTATATTCTTTCACAGGTTTGATTTCCTCCATTTCTTCAGTCCCATCCTCTTGATCTACAGTGAATTCTATAGGTGGTTTGGACATTTCATCTACTGTTTCCCCAAGCTCTGATTCTGATTCAAGAAATTCGAGTTTTACAGATGTTTCAAGTGTTATATTTTCCTGTTTGTCTGAAGGTAATTCAAACTCAGGAACTGATGGAATTGAAGGAATAGAACTCCTAGGATGTGTTTCTGTTGTATCAGACTCTGATAATGAAATGTCAGAGGATTTTGTTGCTTGCAATCTTAATCTCTCCGGTGTTTCCTCATCAAATTTTCTATCCCTGACTTCAAACTCAAACACTTCATCTTCAGGACTTGAAAGAATCATTTTGGGTTGGGGTTCTGCAACAGGCTGCCTTTCAACACTATCAGGAGAAATATCATAAGTTGCTACAACATGAGACACAGTAGCAGAATCGAGATTGTATGTTGCAGCCAACAGTGTTGGTTCTGTCATATTTTCAGATGATGTAGATGAAGCAATAAGATCTTCACTAGATATTGAGCACGAATTTGTTGTCTTTGGTAAATCAATGGAGTCGTCCTTTATGATAGCACCCTCTTCTAGTTTTGATGATTGTATAAAGTCAGAATAATCTTGGCTAAACTCAAAAGTGACATCTTTCTTAGGAGAAAATAGATGTTGTTCTTTTTCTGTTTCTAGTTTCTCAACTTGTACTTCATATTCCACTGGTTTGACAATAAGTTCAGGGCTTCCAATTGTAGTATCAGTCACTTCAATTTCAACATTTGATTCTTCTGCCTCTCTTATCTCAGCATCTAGTTTTGATTCCTCCTCATCATATTCCTGTTGTAGCTGGATATTAAGAGGAACAGTTGTAGTGGGAATTTCAGTCTGCATCTCTTCTTTCATTTCATTCCCTCCACTACTATAGCTTGTAGACAACTCTTCGCTGTCTATTGATACTGTTCTTAAGCACACTGGTTTTTGCTCTTCCTCAAGATGTTTATCAATTTCAAGGTGAAATATTTCTTCTGGTGATTCTTCTTGATTTTCACTTTCCCTTTCAAAAGCTTCAATCTCTTGATCAAAAATATCCTCTGGAATGATGTCATCTGTTGGTGTTTTATCTATTTGAGTTATTTGTGGTGATTCATCAGATGAATAGTCATGATCATCTGCAGAAGATGATTTACCTGTATCAAAAGAGTCACTGCTTGTGAAAGCATCTGCAGTAATATATCCAGATCCAGACACTGATCCAGTGAGTGTTTCTGATGATACACCTCTCGATTCAATGGAAGAGTCTGCTGAGGCATAGGAACTAGTGAGTGTCTCGGCTGATACAGAGGACCTTGAATCTAATGACATTGTGCTATGAGCAGTTGCGTATGACCCATCTATTGATGAGTCTTGTGATAATGTTTTTTGTGGTGGAAAATCAAAGGAATCTGAGAGAGGTCTCTTTGGAGAATACTTTGGTGAATAGGTTAAAGAACTATCCGATTTTATGGCTTTGTCTCCAAAGTCAAATGATGTAGTGTCAGATTTAACTGGTCGAGGTGAAGTTGATTCTTCTGAATCAGACACAACATAGCCTGTTCCACCTATTCTGAATACATTTAAATGTGCATCTGCAACATCATGTCCGATTGGTATGTCATGTGACCTGCTCTCAAGAATACTCTCAACAACTTCATGCTGATATGTTTCTTGAATTTCCTCAAAGGGTTCTTTCACTGTGCCAGTTGGATCTAACACAATACCTTCAAAGGGTTCAGTTGGTGTGTCATCATCCTCCATGATTTCAATTATATCAGGTGGAACGGAACTTAAAGTATCAGTATATGGTACATCAGACTCCTCAATCACATCATTTATAGATGTATCAATTTCAGCAGTCACAGTTTCATCACTTGGCTCTTCATGTTGATCTATTGCTTTTTCAGTTACTTCTTCATGTCTAAACGACATATCTTCTTCCCCAATTTGTACTGCAGTTTGGCTTTCCTTGAAAAAATCTACTCCTTCATGTACATAATCAGATTTACTTTCACTTTCCCTGTGAAACTCATCTTTATCATTGACATATGACTCAGATGGTATTCTTTCTGATATACCCTTAGGCTCATGTTCTAACATCTCACTAGCATCTACTTTCTCTTCATACTGTTTATCCACAATTTTACACTTGTCATCCTTCACAACATCACTTTCAACAACAACCGTATCCTCAATATGAGGTACATATCTCTCATCATCCTCAGTTTTCTGATCATCATAGGATTGTAGAATTTCAGCTTTGTGTTCTAATTTGGTGTCTTTCATATCTTCAATAATTTCATGAGTCTCAATAAGATATGTTTCCTTGGTATCGCTGAAGCTCTTATCTTCTTTAACTTCAACAGTAATTTCAGTCCTAGCATCCAATTGATCGCTCACAGGTTTGTCTTCAACTTTTTCAGGAGTCAATTCTTCATCATCTTTAGGCTCATCAAATACAACTGGTTCTGATTCAACCTCACTTGATTCTATAATAATATATTCCTCCTCAATATCTTCTGTTAATTCTTCTTTTGATGCACTTGTTATGACAATATTTGGCTGATCCATGTGGACCATTGGTACAATTGGCTCATTGTCGATCTTTATCTCTGTTTCTTCAAAGCTTTCATCTGAGGACAGTTTGATAGTAGGGGGTTTGTGGTGTACTAATCCAAATATTCTTTGTTCTGTACCATCTGGAGAAGTTTCAATAACTTCCGATGTGGAGGTACGTTCAGTTCTTACTTCAGTTGAAATAGTATATGATTCTACAAGTTCTCCCTCAAACTGAGGCCTACTCTGATCTGTTAATATTTCATGAGACTTTCTGTGTTCTCTCCTGGGATGAGTCATATCAACTACCATATTATCATCATCATCACTACTATAAACTACATCAATCTCAGGGTCAACTCCATACGCACTATCTTCAGACTCACCATCTGCACTATCTGACACTATTTTAAGGTCATCGCTTACATGGACAGACTGTTGAGCCATGAGTTCCATACTTTCTTGAATACTACTTTCAAGATATTGTTGTTGATTATCACTTAAAGATTCATCAGAAATATCTCCATCGCTCACCTCTTTTGTGTCTCGGTGCTCTTCTAACCCACTGGATGAGTCCATTGGTGATGACTCAACATCTTTAACAGTAGATTGTTCTCCCTCTGATGCTTTGGATATTGTAAAAACATCAACAATTTTATCCAGCATTTCTCCTTGAGCTATACCATCATCTCCCATACCTTGATCAATATGCACACCATGCTCTCTATGATCATATTTAGGACTAGTAGATGCTTCAATTTCAAATTGTTCTTTCACTTTATCATATTTTGTGTCATCATTCCCAGCATTTTCAGCATCCACAACCTTCTCTGGTTCCTGTTGATCTTGATCAATGTGTATGAAGACAGGACTTTTAGACTCTAGAACTTCTAATTGGTCTTCCTCATCATGTTCAACTTTCACAACAGGCTCTTGCCCTTCATACCCTTGCTTATCACATATAGGGACTTTATTTGAAAATTCCTCAATTTCTAGTTCTTCATCCTCATGTCCTTTATCTTGATACTTTACGACTTCAATTTCCGAAGCAGGTTCTGGTTCCACATGTTCTTGTGGGTCATATGGAGGAATTTCATCGGAGGATTGCTCACCTACTAATTGGTCTTCAATTCTATCATCAAATTTTATATCTTTATCCTTAGCATCTTCAATTTTAATGACAGGTTCTGATTCTTCATACATTTGCTTATCATATACAGGGACTTGAATTGAAGATTCTTCAATTTCTAATTGATCCTTTACTTTATTGTCATGGTGTATCTCTTTGACTTTAGCATCTTCATCTTCAACAGCAGTTTCTGGCTCCTCATATTCTTGCTTATCATACACAGGGACTTGAACTGATGTTTCCTCAATTTCTAATTGCTCTTCTACTTCATCAGCATGCTCATGAGCCTTAAAATCTCCATGTACAACAACAGGTTCCTTTTGTTCATATTCTTGCTCAACATATGGCTGATCTTGACTCATCAACATGGCATCACAATCAATATCAACTCTAACTGGTTGTTCTGGTACACTATCAATTGGCTCAAATCCAATTTCAGTTCTTGTCATAATAGATTCCACCTCTATAGTTTCTGACCTAGTGACTGCTTCTATTACAGTTTTTGAATGTGTCTCAAATGTAGAAGACTCTTGGAGAGCATCCTCTCTCTCTGAAGTTGTAGTTTCAGTTTTCGTTGCAGTATATTGGGAATCTTCTTCAATGGTTTGATCAAAAAAGAAAGATTTCTTGTCTGGTGATAACTGGTCTATAGACTGTTGAAGTTCTGCACTGAAAATACTACTTTTCAATTCTTTTTCAACAGTTTCATGAATTTGCTGTTCTTTTCCTGCATAGTCAAATTTAACAGCATCAGGTTCTAGGTCTTTGGGTGAATCCTCTTCATCTATTGTATCTCTTCCCTCAAATGCCATATTGTCAAATGTCATGAACTCAATTCTATTTTGATAACCAGGTGTTGGTTCAGCTGAGCTTGGTTCATCACAAGAATCAATTTTTGGTACACTTGTACTTGAAAAGGGATCTGCAATGTCAGTGGTTGTAATCGTTGCACTTACATCGGAAGACTCCTGTTCAGGAACAAGTGCAGCACTAGCAGATTCACACTCAGCCTGTTCAGCTTCAGATGGTTCTGGCTCTTCAACCATAGTTTCTAGTTCATCCTTATCTTTCTCATATACCCTTGTGATTACATCCTCCCTGTTATAGACATCAGTATCAGTTTCAGGGTCACCTGATATAACTTGATAACCCTCTTGCTCAGGTGAGCTGGTTGGTTCCAGTTCAACTACCCTAAATATTGCATCACCATACTGATCACTGTCTGGTTTATCTTGAAGGAAAGATTTTGTACTAAATGTTGGATCGTACTTCACAGGTTCTTGCTCAATTGGTTCAACATCTATTATTTCTGTTTTTTCAGGTGATGACACATCTGTTGTATCAATACCGAGGAAGGTTTCTAATGTAAGTGGCTGGGATTTCATTGATTGATCATCAATTTGAGGAGCAACAGATTCAGGCTCAATCTTGTCAATCTTGGTAGCTTCAATGACATCAAGTGGCTCTTCCCTTATAGGAGTAGTATCTTCTGTTTCAATCATATCATCGGGAATAGACTTTTCAATGCTGGTTTCAATTACATCAAGGGGCTCTTCCTTTACAAGAGCAGTATCTTCTGTTTCAATAATATCATCGGGAACAGATTGATCAATGCTAGCTTTTATGACATCAAGGGGCTCTTCCTTTACAAGAGCAGCATCTTCTGTTTCAATAACATCATCAGGAACAGATTGATCAATGGTAGCTTCAATGACATCAAGGGGCTCTTCCTTTACAAGAGCAGTATCTTCTGTTTCAATAATATCATCGGGAACAGATTGATCAATGCTAGCTTTTATGACATCAAGGGGCTCTTCCTTTACAAGAGCAGCATCTTCTGTTTCAATAATATCATTAGGAGCAGACTGATCAATGGTAGCTTCAATGACATCAAGGGGCTCCTCCTTTACAAGAGCAGAGTCTTCTACTCCAATAATATCATCAGGAAGAGATTGATCAATGGTAGCTTCAATGACACCAAGGGGCTCCTCCTTTACAAGAGCAGAATCTTCTGTTTCAATAATATCATCAGGAACAGATTGATCAATGGTAGCTTCAATGACATCAAGGGGCTCCTCCTTTACAAGAGCAGAATCTTCTACTTCATTAACATCATCAGGAACAGACTGATCAATGGTAGCTTCAATGACATCAAGGGGCTCCTCCTTTACAAGAGCAGAATCTTCTACTTCAATAACATCATCAGGAACAGACTGATCAATGGTAGCTTCAATGACATCAAGGGGCTCCTCCTTTACAAGAGCAGCATCTTCTGTTTCAATAATATCATCAGTAACAGATTTTTCCATGGTAGCTTCAATGACATCAAGGGGCTCCTCCTTTACAAGAGCAGCATCTTCTGTTTCAATAATATCATCAGGAACAGACTGATCAATGGTAGCTTCAATGACATCAAGGGGCTCCTCCTTTACAAGAGCAGCATCTTCTGTTTCAATAATATCATCAGGAACAGATTTTTCAATGGTAGCTTCAATGACATCAAGGGGCTCCTCCTTTACAAGAGCAGCATCTTCTGTTTCAATAACATCATCGGGAACATACTTTTTAATGCTAGCCTCAGTGACATCAAGTGACTCTTCTCCTATAAAGGTAGTGTCTTTTGTTTCAATAACATCATCAGAAACAGACTTTTCAATACTCGTCTGAATATCAAGGGACTCATCTTTTACAGGAGTAACATCTTCTATTTCAATGGCATCTTTGGGAACAGATTGCTCAATGGTAGATTCTGATCCAATAGCATCTTCTGAGACAGGCTGTTCCACTTGTGTGTAAATTATGTCCTTGGTTTGCTCAGTAACAGATATTGTATCTTCTGATTCAATAGAATCATCAGAAGTATATTGTTCAGCTATAGTTCTGATCTTAATATCATTTGATTCCTCCTCTGATAAAGGTACTTTGGCTGATTTAAAGTCATCTTTCTGTACATTTATGTCAATATTTGCAACTTCTCCAACAGGAGAAACATCTCCCATTGCGGTAAAGCCATCTGAAGCAGAGTGCTCTCTACTAAAGTCTATTTCTATGGATGATTCTAGAGCATCAGAGGAAGTGGACACAGGGACATCTATACTGGTCTCCATAATATCATCTTTGCTTTCATCTGTATATTCGTACAATGGCTGTTGCTCAAGACTAGAGGAAAGGTACTCCGGCTCTTCAGCTATAAAGCTAGTTGGAGAAACACCAACAGCAAACTTAATCTTATGGATATCCTTTGTCTCATGTACAGGGGAAATATCAGGGGATGATTCATGTTTTAAATGTACAGGGGAATCTGGGGGAGTTTGGGTAACAGAATACTCAAGTTTTGATTCAATTGTTAGATCAAAGGACTGTTTACTAATTGGGGATTCTGTGGCCCCATCCAGTAGGCCCTCCCCTTCTTCAGTCTCCTTCACCCTTGTGTCCAAATCTACAGGAATTGCAGGCACTAAATAGAGTTAATTAGAACACAGTGTTACTAAAGTTAGTCAAACTCACACAAAATCTTAACTAAATTACCAAACAGATTAATGTTGCCATCATTCAAAATTTATGAAAATGAATTATTGCAATTTGTGTTTTGAAAATGTTTCAAAGAAGTTATTGAATTAGAGAGTTATTGAAACAACTGAACTCATACATGACTTCATTCAAAAATAGTCGACCATGCTACAAAGCAATACAAGCTATGGTTAATTGCAAGTGTTAAGTTGGGCAGAGTTTTAATGCATGTCCACGTAATGAGCACAGAGAAAAGATCAAATTAACAAAAATGTGAGTAAATGAATTTCAAAACAGAGATGCTCACTAATATCAATCATTGAAACAATATGAATGATGTATATGACAATACAAAGGTTCATTGTGATCTTTTCTATGTGGGTGTTGAATATGAAAGTCAGGGTCAGGGTCCTTGCATACTACCAAGATCATTCTTTAATAAAGTTGATATTATGGGTATGATACACAAGGACTCCTATGTAACATAGTTCAATGTACTTTCTTTGTCTATGCCTATTTTTTGAAGAAATAATGAACTATGTTAAGCATATGTAATGGTACAAATGGCTGAGATTGATGAAATACTACAGTATTATAATAAACCAGTATATTGTAAAATGATTCACCATCCATTTGTATTGTGAACTGATGATGTTTTTGCCATACAATATTACATAAAATACAAATTGCTTATAAATGTACTAGAAGCCCAACTCAATTTCTATTTTTCTTTTTAAAAATCAAATATTACAATTGTTTCATATCTGAATATCAAAATATAATTTGGTGACTAAAAATGATTTTGCTAAATATTGTATGGCAATCATATAATGAACAAATGTTAAATTGCTGTGTTTGTCCGCCTATCTACAGGTCTAGCTTGATTCACTGCAACCAGGAGTTGAAATACTGAAATACCTTCATATTCACCATAAGGACCACTCTGTGCACCTTCTAGGTCTCCTTGCAACTCCAGGGCAAGCTGATCCAATATTTCACTAGGGATATCTGGCAACAGAAGTGTGGTACAACATCAGACAACAGTTATGTGGAACATGCTAAATAAATAGTGTAAAACACTAAAATGTCATTCTGGTCATTATTAAGATAATTCAATTTGAATGAAGTACACATACAGTAAGACCTGTCCAATGGAACACCTTTCTGCTAGGACACTAACTTCTTTATATATAACAAATTTTCAGAAGAATTTAGTCCCAATGACTAATGTGATATTGAATCCTTTCTATTATGAAATTACTGTCTACAAGGAATAGTTGCCTCCAGAAAGGAGGTGTTTATTAGACAGATTTACTATATATGGATTGAGGCATTCTTAACCAGTTGAAGAGTATTCTTGTCAATTCTCTCCTTTTGTTTAACAGGACAACCGTGACATTTTAGTTGAAGGTAAGCGAACAACAACACAGTGATCAGGAAATTCAATGTGAGCTAAAACAGTAAAAACAATATTTATAAAAGACTGTACAATTAACTGTAAAATAAAGAAAAAGAAATCCTGAAAAGTCATCAAAACATGCATTAATAAATAGGGGTCCTTAAAAACTAAGCGCATCCGATGAGATATGAGACATGATATTAATAAAAATGAACTTGATGAATGCAGAAGAAAATGAGAGAACTAAACTACAGCTTTGTATATTCATCTATGATTTAATTATTTCTTGTAAATTGTAACACACGGTGCACATCAGGAAATCACAAGAAAGCAGGTGGGTATTTAGAGTCCAGCCATCAGATACAAGAACACAAACGTGTACAAAATGTCCCCACCAAGTGGTGATCCCGTGAAATGGTTATCCTGAAAATGAGTAGACAAGACTTTACCAACACAATTTGAGGACGGAAAATCCAAAGTGGCCACCTTAAAATTTACCCAGAATGCCAAAAATTTAGTCAGTTCTAGATTTTCATACTAAGAACCACCCCTGAAAATTTGAAATTGATCCGTCACACAGTTAACCAGAAAACATGTAAACAAGACTTTACAGACAAGATTTCAGGATGGAAAATCCAAAATGGCTGCCTTGACATTTACCAAGAATGTCAAAAAACTAATCAGTTTGTAGATTTTCATACTAAGAATCATCCCTGAAAATATGAAATTGATCTACCAAACGGTTCACCTGAAAACGGGTAGACAAGACTTTACAGACAAGATTTTAGGACAGAAAATCCAAAATGGCTGCCTTAACATTTACGCAGAATGCAAAAAAAGTAATCAGATGTAGATTTTCATACAAAGAATCATCCCTGAAAATTTGAAATTGATCTATCAAACCGTTCTCCTAAAAACGCGTAGACAAGACTTTACAGGCAAGATTTTAAGACGGAAAATCCAAAATGGCTGCCTTGACATTTACCCAGAATGCAAAAAAACTAATCAGTTCTAGATTTTCATACTAAGAATCATTCCTGAAAATTTGAAATTGATCTACGAAACAGTTCACCTGAAAACGAGTAGACAAGACTTTACAGACAAGATTTTAGGACGGAAAATCCAAAATGGCTGCCTTGACATTTACCCAGAATGCCAAAAAACTAATGAGATCTAGATTTTTATACTAAGAATCATCCCTGAAAATTTGAAATTGATCCACCAAACGGTTCACCTGAAAACGCGCAGACAAGACTTCACAGACAAGATTTTAGGACCGAAAAATCCAAAATGGCCGACAATAAAAAAGTCCTTATGAGTTTTTGCTGATTTCTTTTTACAAAATTATCACATATAACTACTGTTAACAATAAAGTAGGCTTGTACAGCAAAGTACATCTGAAATTATTTATAAAGCTACTAAATAGTTAAAGTATGAAAACTCAAAAACACCATTCAATATGATACAAAGTATTATCGCGCGCTAACTTTTCTTAAGACATTCAAAATGGCTGACATGACTGAGCTAGCAGGTCCAAAACCTAATCAGATCTAGAATGAAGTGAGCTGAACAAGATGTTAAAGTTTTAAAAGCAACTGTGAAGCAGTTTTTCTTAAAGTTTGCAGACAAGGATTTTAGCATTCGACTTCAAAATGGCCGACAGGAAGTAAGTATCGAGTTAATTTTTTTTCATCCACATCTGTATGCACTCATAAGTTATCCCTGAAAATTTGAAGGTGATATCTGTAGCGGTTTTGGAGAAAACTGCCGGACGTACGGACAGACGGACAGACAGACGGACAGACAGACGGACAGACAGACGGACGGACGGACGCGCCTAGGCCGACAATATGGCCCCACACTATGTGGTGGGGACATAAAAAGCAATACCTTCATCACTTTGTTGACGGTCATTCAGATCATTCTCATGGGGGAAGAAACCATCAGGTGAGGAATGATGTCTAAATCTAGGATGCTCCTTTTCCCCTTCTTCTACCTCACATGAATGGGAGCGTTCTAAGGAGGAGTCAGATGCTGGAGCAAGTAACTGTTGTTCTTGACCTACAGAGTCAAGGCCTGACTCATAGGTCTGGTAAGGAGGGGAACTCCCATACTCTGGTTGCACTGTATCTTTTATAGGGGTAGATGGGATATCCACTAGAGGACATGCTGCACTTTCCATATTTGTATCATATTGGGTTTCAGTGACATCAGTTGCTTCTGGAATATCATCAGCATTTGGGGATTCTTCCTTGATTGAGTCCAGTGAGGCTGACAGAGGAATTGTTGAACTTTCAATATTGGTATCATAATCAGTATTAGTCACATCAGTGGTCCTAGGCTGTGACTCATTATAATCTACAAATTGCTCTTGTTCCTCATCATAACTTGGCTTTTTAGTGTAAAGATCTTCAAAACTACTAGAGCGGGCCATGATCTCTGGTTGTTCTAAATTTGGCTCAAATCTATCCCCAATTGCTTTTTCAGCTGATAATGTAGGCTTCATGACTTCACACTCAATTTCTGTTTTATCATAGATATTTTCAAAGCTTGATGTGAGAAGATCTTTTTTCTCATCAAGTGGGTCAGAATGTACGGATATTGGTGCTGATTCAACACTCTGAGCAACTTCTGTGCTGATCAATATATCTGATGTATCTTGAATAGATTGACTTTCAAAAGCATCTCCTTGTGGTTTCTCAAATGACTCAACTTTCCGAAGTCTTTCTTCTTCTGCTGCAGCATCCTCTGCTGCTATCAGGTGATGCAAGACTTCTCTAGCAACCTGTTCATTGACATCAATTATGGGCTGGGTGGTATTGGGTTTATCATATTGTGTGTCATCTTCAATGGTAGTTCTGGGTTCTTCGTCAAGGGCATCATTTATGGCTGCTTCAAGCTCTTCAAACTCTCTATGATCTTCTTCATCTTCAAAGGGATCCTTTGTTACACCAACATATGGTTCATCTGGATAATCCTCGTCTACTTGCTGTGCTTCATACTTCTGAGAAATCTGAGGGGCAGTCTGTTCAAATGCTTCTTCTTGTTTTTCAATATACTCTGTATCATCAGAGATTTCAGGGTATTTAACAGATTCATCCGTTTGGTCTGAATATGAAGTTTCTTCATGTTTCTTAGATCCATCATCAGTATAGGCTTCTTTTTCAGTTGATTCATCTTCATACTTTTCATCTTGAGATTGAATCATGGCATCATCATCAGGAGACTGTTTGTCATTTTGGCATACTTGTTCCAATTTAGTATATTCATCTTCAGATTCTTCATCAATCTGATCTACTGGTGGCAGTGATGGTGTAGATAATTCTTCTGTGTTTGGTTTTAGCTGCATCACAGCACTGGATACAGTAGTTGTAGAAGGCTCCTGAACATCTTCCTCCAATGTCTGCTCAGTATCAAACTCAACAGGCTTCTCTTGAATGGAAGTATTAGCAAGTGATGCTAATATTTCTCTAGCCTCATCAGCCTCAGTGCTCATGAAATCAAATGGTTCTGCAACAGGTTCCTCATGTTTGTCCTCGCTATACTCAGTTGGTATCCCAGTATCAGGCCCAATAGGTTTATCTTCAACAGATTCATCATCAAACTGGTCTGCTGGTAAGTGTTCTGTCTTTGGTTTTAGCTGCATCACAGCACTGGATACAGTAGTTGTAGCAGGCTCTTGATCATCTTCGTCCAAAGCCTGCTCAGTATCAAACTCAACAGGCTTCTCTTGAATGGAAGTATTAGCAAGTGATGCTAATATTTCTCTAGCCTCATCAGCCTCAGTGCTCATGAAATCAAATGGTTCTGCAACAGGTTCCTCATGTTTGTCTTGGCTATACTCAGTTGATACCCCACTTTCTCGCTCTGTTAGTGTTAAGAAAAGAAGAAACCACACAGGTATAGATATTAGATAGCAATTATCTATAAGCTCCAGTAAATGGAGATTAGGAATCTGTAAAGAAAATGCCCTATGAGAGGATATATAGCAGTCAAAGCAAAAGCAAAAGCGAGGTAAAGCAAAAAGCATGTAGAATTCATTCACATCATGTGGCATACGCAGGCATGAAATGGTGAACTCTACAAGAAACAGATGAGTGATCATTGAAGTACAGTGATCAAGAAAGATAAGTGTCAGAATGAAATGTAATGGAAATCAAACGACCATATCAAGGAAAGATGAGATATATGGTAGTTTGCGAAACGTGCAGTGCAGAGTGTGTTAAGTACCTTCATAAAGTGTGTGGTCTACCGGCAAGGCAGTTGCATCACTCAGGTGTTCTGAAGTGTCAGTTGTGTCAGTAGCCTGCTCAGATGGAACAGTTGATTCTACAGTTTGGTCAGTATGTGTTAATTCAGTGTCCAATGAGACAGAAGCTTCATGCTTTGATTTTTGCTTGGTCATATCTTGTTCTTTGGTTACATCAGTATCATCAAGTTCTTTATGTGTTGGTATATTGTCAGAATCTTCAGTCTTTTCATCTTTTGAGCTTTCGGAATCTGAGCTATATCCTTCAGAGACCTTTAGTAATGCTTCAAATATTTCCTTAGCTTCCATTGCAGTTGTGGATGAAATATCGCTTGGAGTGTGTTCATCAGATTTTATTGGAGATTCAATTTGAATAGTAGAAGGGTCTTCAGAAGTTACCTGTTCCAGCTCTTTTTTATCAGTTTCACTTACAGGTTTTAAATCACTTCCTTTTATTTCAATATCTGGAATGCTTTTCTGATCACTTTCAAGTGATGCTCTCTCAGTTTCTATTGATTGTTCAATAAAGATCTGCTCTGACATATCAACACTAATTCTACTTAAAGGTTCAGCTGAAGCTTGTTGGTCAAATACAGGGGTGGCTCTGTCATCTTCCTCCGTATAATCTAGATCAGTCTGAATCAATGTCTCTTCCTGGAAAACTGATTTATCCTTAGTATGGAACACCTCTTCACTATCAGTTGATAACACGGATGCAGATAAAGTGTCCGCCATTGGTGCATCAATGTGCTCTGCTTGAACTATCTGTTCTGGAAGAAATTTGTCCTCTATATATTCTTTTGAGGTTTGGATTTCTTCTCTTTGTTCCAATGAAATGACTTCTTCAGTTTGATAACTAGACTCCTGTTGTCGCTGCTCCAAATCAACCTCTTGTTCGGGTGAAGATGAAAATGGAGAATCCACCTCTGCATCTGACTCAGCTGAACTAGAGCCTGTAGACATCGGTTCTGCCACTCCATCATCAGACAGATAACAACTTTCAACCATTTGATCCCTTACTTCAACTCTCTCAGTGTCCGACTCTGAGCTCATATCATTGTCACTTTTTATGGCTGAATCATCAGATATCATGCTTGCTTGCATGACAGCCTTTTCCTCAGTCAACTTTTCAGACATATCAAGTTCATCAACCTTAGCACCTAAGAACTGTGTGGGAATATCCTTTGTTGGTTCTACATTTTTATTATCATCTATTTGAACAGCTGACTTAATGTAACCGGTTTGAACATCTGACTTAGAATATTCCTCTACAGATAAAGATTTAGTAACAACTGTTTCACTAAACATGACCCGTTTTTCCATGTAACTTTCACTTTTACTGAACCCAGTTAAATCATCAGATAACTCATCTAAATTCTTTTCAGAAATATCATACAGTAACTTACATTCTTGGTTATCAACATCTACCTTGTCTGGTAAGTCACCATCCAAAGAATCAGCAGACACAGCCATGCTGTCAGATGGTACAGATGATGTTACAGATGCAGACATAAGTGAATCTACAGACACTGTACTTGGCAATGGCTCTGTTGGAATACTGGTTTCATCTGGGGATGTATCAAACTCACTTTCTATAAGGGTTTGTTCATCACCAATACTAGTGTCTTCTTTGACTGTGTCTGGAATGTCAGTATCAGGTGAAGTCACATCTAAGGAATCTTCAGACAATAGAGGCTCTTTACTTATTGCATGATCATCAAGAGAATCAGGGGAGGCTACATGAGTGTCAGTGGTCATATGATGTGAGAAATCATCTTGTTGTAAGCTATCATACATGACATCATCAGGAGTGGCTGCTTCATCTTTCACACTTGCAGGTCGATATTCAATGTAGGGAGCTGGCTCTATCAGAGCTTGATCTGCACTCAGTTCACTTGATGTATGACTGATACTGTCTGAATCTCTTGGGCTGGGCTTTAAGGCTATCTTGATGGCAAATGCCACAGACTCGCCAACACCTGTTTCAAAGATTCTGGTAGTTTCTGTTGATTTTTGTTCTTTTGGATGTACATACTGTGAGCTTTCAGAGGAGATCATAGCGACTGGTTGAACATCATCAGGTTCTTTGTATTCCTCTGCTGATTCTGCTGGAAGCATACTTTTGTCACTAAACACTTGTTCTCGTTTTTCAACACATTGTTCTTCTGTTCTCTCTGTAAATGAGTCAATTACAATTGGGGCAGAGTACATTTCTGTTTCTACTATCCTCTGTATTTCATCACTTGCTGGGTGTAAACCAACAACTTCCCCTGTAGATACATCTACTTCTATCATTTGTTCGGGCAGCTGTTGCTCAGCAGCACTAAAAGACTCAGCACGTTGTGTGTATGTTGTAATTTGTTTACGTGGTGACTGCACTTGTCTCTCGATGTGTTCAGTTGAATCAGTTGAATCTTGTTTTTCAACAGATATTTCAACAGATATATCCCTGTGTGGTACCTCAACCATCATATCCTGGTCCTGATCTGTCCTCCCAGGTAGTTCTTCAGAGCTTTCTGATGGGGTTTTATCAGTATGAACTTCTACCATACGTTTATATGTTTGCTCTCGATCATAACTCATGGCTTTGCCTACTTTGATTTGAATTTCATACTCTGGCTGAGTTTCAATCAGGACTTCTTTCTCCACTTGCTTGGATATGGCAGTGACTTCTGAAATGGAGAGGTCATCATAACTCTGTTTTTCAATATCTAATGGCATGCCTGTTATGTCTAATTGTTTGGTAAGTTCCACACTAGCTACCTCTGAATGTCTATGTTGTTCTACAGTTTCCGAATCACACACAAGTTCTTGATGCAAAGTAGTTTGAGTATCTATTGATTTTTCTACTGATACATCTACTAAAGCAAAATGTCTCTCTGTTTTTTCTTTCTGTGTTCCTTCTATATGCTCTTGATAATATGCTTCTTGAATTCTCAATTCAGATTGCTTCACAGCATCAATTTCAATACCATCGTCATATTGTGCAATGTCAACAACCTTTTTAATGTCCATTTCAAATTCACTTTGAACTGGCTTTTTGGGAGGCTCAATTACCACTTGTTCCTTGATGTCAACTTCAAGTTCTACTTCTTTCTCAATGTCATGCTGTTGATAGTAAGCTTCTTGTATTCTCTTCTCAGATTCTTTTAAATCATCTATTTCAACAATGCTCTGATACTGTGCGATATCAACAATCTTTTTAATGTCAATTTCAAAATCACTCTGGGTCAGTGTTTGAAGAGGCTCAACCTCTTCTTGTTCCTCAATGTTGAGTTTGATTTCACTTTGGATTGGTTCTAGAGAAGCCTCAATATCCACTTGCTTCTCAATGTCAATCTCATGCTGTTTATAGTATGCTTCTTGGATTCTTAACTCAGACTGCTTCACAGCATCGATTTCAATTACACTCTGATACTGTGCGATATCAACAACCTTTTCTACATCGATAATCTTTTGGAGAGGCTTAATTTCTACTTGTTTCTCTATGTCAACTTCGATTTCACTTTGGATCGGCTCTTGTGGAGGCTCAATTTCTACTTGTTTCTCAATGTCGACTCCGATTTCACTGTGAATGGATTTTTGGGGAGGCTCAATTTCTACTTGTTTCTCAATGTCAACTTCAATTTCAGTGTGAATGGATTCTTTGGGAGGCTCAATTTCTACTTGTTTCTCAATGTCAACTTCAATTTCACTGTAAATGGATTCTTGGGGAGGCACAATTACTCCTTGATTTTCTATGTCGACTTCGATAACACTTTGGATCGGCTTTTGGGGAGGCTCAATTTGTACTTGTTTCTCAATATCAACTTCGATTTCACTTTGGACCGGCATTTTGAGAGGCACAATTTCTACTTGTTTCTCTATGTCGACTCCGATTTCACTTTGGATCGGCTCTTGGAGAGGTTCAATTTCTACTTGTTTCTTTATGTCGACTTCGATTTCACTTTGGATCGGCTCTTGGAGAGGCTCAATTTCTACTTGTTTCTCTATGTCGATTTCGATTTCACTTTGGACTGGCTCTTTGAGAGGCTCAATTTCTATTTGTTCCTCTATGTCGACTGCGATTTCACTTTGGATCCGCTCTTGGAGAGGCTCAATTTCTACTTGCTTCTCTATGTCGACTTCGATTTCGCTTTGGATCGGCTCTTGGAGAGGCTCAATTTCTACTTGCTTCTCTACGTCGAATTCGATTTGACTTTGGATCGGCTCTGGGAGAGGCTCAATTTCTACTTGTTTCTCTATATCGAATTCAATTTCACTTTGGATCGGCTCTTTGGGAGACTCAATTTCTACTTGTTTCTCTATGTCGACTTCGATTTCACTTTGGATCGGCTCTTGCGGACACTCAATTTCTACTTGTTTCTCAATATCAACTTCGATTTCACTTTGGACCGGCTCTTTGAGAGGCTTAATTTCTACTTGTTTCTCTATGTCGACTTCGATTTCACTTTGAATCGGCTCTTGTAGAGGCTCAATTTCTACTTGTTTCTCTACATCGACTTCGATTCCACTTTGAATTGTTCCTCGAAGTTCACTTTCTACTTGTTTCTCTATGACAACTTTTGTTTCACTTTCAGACTGGATATCTTCAATAGGGTCAATAGCAATTGTTGTGTCTATCAATTCACTAACAAGGTTAAGTCCAAGACCTGGACTTTTAGGGGCTATAAGCTTAACTCTAGATGGTGTTGTTGGTGTAGAACTTACTGGGCTTTCCTGTCCTTTCTCAACACTATCCCCCAATGACTTATCAGATTCACTAGATACGTTGAATTCAGTTGGTGGCATTTCCTTGATTTCAGATAATTCATGTTGAACAAGTTGGTCAAGTGCAGCTTCACTTTCCGAATCAGTAGTTATTTCAGGTTCATCTGTATAATTGAGTAGATCCTGTAGAACAGTAGAAGCATCTACAAGTAGTTGAGGTGAAGCTCCATCACTCCTTGGTGACACAGATCTTGATGAAAAGCGATCAGGAGAGCGAAGTGTATCTAGATCTACTGATCTTGCAGCTGGTTCAATGTCTTCTTGAACATGTGGCTCTGCTTCTGATTGAACAATTGTTTCAGATTTAATTCTATCCTCCAACAAAGGTCCAACCTCTGATCCAAAATCTGCAGGTTTAATTTCTGATTCAACTACTACTTCAGATTCAACTTTTTCTTTAACAGGTTTAACCTCTGATTCAACAACAGGTACATGCCAAACTTTTTCCGCATCAACACATTCGCCCTGTGATTCAACAATTTGCTCAGATTCAACTTCCTTATCAGCTACAGGTTCAGTTTCTGATTGAACAAGTGGTTCAGACTCAACTTCTTCAACAACAGGCACAGATCTAACTTCTTCTTCAACTATAGGTTCAACCTCTGATCTGGCAACTTGTTCTAACTCAACACCTTTCTCAACTGCAACTTCAACTTCTGACTCAACAACGACCCCAGATTCAACTTCTTCACCAACAACAAGTTCAACCTCAGATTCAATCTCTTCAACTACAGGTTCATCCTCAGATCTGACAACTGGTTCAGACTCAACAACTTCCTTAACAGGTTCAACCTCGGATTCAACAACTGGCTCAGACTCAACATCTTCCTCAAATAAAGGCTCAACCTCCGATTCAACAACTAGTTCAGACTGAACAGTTTCCATAACCACATGTTCAATCTCTGTATCAACAACTGGTTCAGGTTGTTTTTCTTCCTCAACTACAGCATCAGCCTCTGATTCAACAACACATTCTTCAACAAATGCTTCAACATCAGATTCAAAAAATTGTTCAGACTCAATTTCATTCTCAGGTATGTATGATAAAATATTATCTTTGTCATTATATTTAAAAGGACCAGAAGTGTAACATGATGCTTCTTTTGAGGTAAAAATTGGAATAATTGTAGCTTCTTGAACAGGGTCAGTTTGAGGTTCTATATGCTCTTCAACAACAGTTATGTGCGGCGCTTGCACAATTGACTCTTGTTGAATAACCTCTTTATCAATAATGTCACTTTCAACTCTGATTTCAGATGTATATTCTTCTTCACTATGTCCACTTTCAATGATCATTTGAGAAAGTGTGTTAAACATTTCTTCTACTCTATAACTTTGATTTTTGTTAAATTCATCAATTAAAACAGGAGATTCAAGAATTGAGGAATCAGGGGATTCAACATTACTACTTCTTTCACATTCAATATCATCCTCTTTGTCAAGAACAACATCCTCTGATTCAACTTCCTCAACTACAGGTTCAACCTTAGATTCAACATCTGGTTCAGAAACAACTTCTTCTTCAACAACAGGTTCAAACTCTGATTCAATAACTGGTTCAGATTTGACTTCTTCCTCAACAACAAGTTCAATCTCTGATTCAAGCACTGCTTCAGATTCAATTTCTTTCTCAAGTACAGGTTCTACCTCATATTCAACTGGTTCAAACTTAATTTCTGTTTCAACAACAGGTTCAACCTCAGATTCAACAACTGGTTCAGACACAACTTCATCCTGAACAACAGGTTCAGCCTCTGATTCAAGAACTAGTTTAGATTCAACTTCCTTCTCTTGGACAGGTTCAACATCTGATTCAAGAACTAGATCAGACTCTATTTCCTTCTCATCAACAGATTCGACTTCCTTATCGGAAATAGGTTCAACCTCAGCTTCAACTGATTCACTATCAACTTCCTCCTCAACAAGAGATTCAATTTCTGATTCAATACATGGTTCAGATTCAATTTCTTCTTCAACAACAGGTTGAACATCTTCAGCAATGGGTTCTGGTACCATTTTTAATAGACTATCAAGTACATCAAATGCATCACCTGCCACTATAGCTTTTGATTCAATGGCACTGGAAACTTCTTCATCTGATTCAATTTCTTGTGTTTTAGTAACTTGCTCCTCAAATGTGGGTTCAACAAATTCTGACTTAACGGCTGGTTCAGATTCAATATCTTGGACAACTTCATGTTCAATTTTTACTGATTTAGACTTAACATCTTCCTTAACAACAGGTTCAACCTCTGATTCTTCAACTGGTTCAGATTCAAATTCCTTCTCATCAACAGGATCAACAACTGGTTCCAGTTCATCTTCCTTCTTAACTACAGGTTCAACCTCAGATTCAACAACTGGAAGAGATTGAACTTCTTTCTCAACTGGTTCAGACACAACTTTGTCCATAACAACAGGTTTAAACTCTGATTCAAGTACTGGTTCAGACTCAACTTCCTCCTCAACAACAGGTTCAACCTCACATTCAACAACTGGTTCGCTATGAACTTCTTTATCAACTACATGTTCGACCACAGATTCTACAAATGGCTCAGGCTCATCTTCCTTTTCAAGAGCAGTTTCAACCTCTGATTCAACAACTGGTTCACACACAGCTTCTTCCTCAACAACAGGTTCAACCTCTGATTCAATAACAAGTTCAGATTTAACTTCCTCCTCAAGAATATGTTCAACCTCTGATTCAAGAACTGGTTTAGATTCAACTTCCTTATCAGTAACAGGTTCAACCTCAGATTCAACAATTGGTTCAGATTCAACTTCCTTATCAGCAACAGGTTCAACCTCAGATTCAACTACTGGTTCAGATTCAACTTCCTTTTCAACTACAGATTCGACCTCAGATTCAACAAATGACTCAGGCTCATCTTCTTTCTCAAGAGCAGTTTCAACCTCTGATTCAACAACTGGTTCACACACAGCTTCTTCCTCAACAACAGGTTCAACCTCTGATTCAATAACAGGTTCAGATTTAACTTCCTCCTCAACAATATGTTCAACCTCTGATTCAAGAACTGGTTTAGATTCAACTTCCTTATCAGTTACAGGCTCAATCTCAGATTCAACAAATGGTTCAGGCTCAAGTTCTTCCTGAACAACAGGTTCAATCTCTGATTCAAGAACTAATTTTGATTCAAATTCACCCTCAACAACAGGTTCAACGTTTGATTCAACAACTTGTTCAGAATGAACTTCTTTCTCCACTACATGTTCAACCTCAGATTCAACAAATGACTCAGGCTCAACTTTTTCCTCCACATCAGGTTCAACCTCTGATTCAAGAACTGGTTCAGATTCAAGTTCTTCCTCAACAAGTTTAACCTCTAATTCAAGAACTGGTTCAGATTCAACTTCTTCCTCAACAACAAGTTTAACCTCTGATTCAACCACTGGTTCAGATTCAACTTCCTTCTCAACTACAGGTTCAACCTCTGATTCAACAACTGGTTCAGACTCAAATTCTTTCTCAGTTACAGGTTCAACCTCAAATTCAACAAATGGTTCAGATTCAACTTCCTTCTCAACTACAGGTTCAACCTCAGATTCAACAACTGGTTCAGATTCAACTTCCTTCTCAACTACAGGTTCAACCTCAGATTCAACAACTGTTTCAGAACATATTTCTTTCCCAACTTCATGTTCAACTTCAGATTCAACAAATGACTCAGGCTCATCTTCTTTCTCAAGAGCTGGTTTAACATCTGATTCAATAACTGGCTCAGATTCAACATCTGCTTTGACAACAGATTCAACATCAGAATCAAGCACTGGTTTAGACTCAACTTTCGTTTCAACTTCAGGTTCAACAACTTGTTCAAATTCAACTTCTACCTCAACTACAGGTTCAACCTCTGATTCAATACCTGGTTCAGATTCAATTTCTTCTTCAACAACAGGTTCTGGTACCATTTTTAGAAGACTATCAAGAACATCGAATGCATCACCTGCCACTTTAGCTTTTGATTCAATGGCTCTGGAAACTTCTTCATCTGATTCAATTTCTTGTGTTTTAATAACTTGCTCCTCAAATTTGGGTTCAACAAGTTCTGACTCCACGATTGGTCCAGATTCAATATCTTGGACAACTACAGGATCAATCTCAACTGGTTCAGACTGAACTCCTTCCTCAACAACTGGTTCAACCTCTGATTCAGCAAATGGTTTATACTCAACTTCCTTCTCAACAACAGGTTCAACCTCAGATTCAAAAAATAACCCAGGCTCAAGTTCTTCCTCTACATCATGTTCAACCTCTGATTCAACAACTGATTCAGATTCATCTTCATTCTCAACTTCAGGTTCAACTTCCTTCTCAACTAAAGGTTCAATATCAGGCTCAACAAATGATTCAGATTCAACTTCCTTCTCAACTACAGGTTCAACCTCAGATTCAACAACTGGTTCAGAATGAACTTCTTTCTCCTCAACTACATGTTCAACCTCAGATTCAACTTCTTTTTCAACTACAGGTTCAACCTCAGATTCAACTGGTTCAGATTCAACTTCCTTCTCAACTACAAGTTCAACCTCAGATTCAACAACTGGTTCAGAATGAACTTCTTTCTCGACTACATGTTCGACCTCAGATTTAACAACTGGTTCATACTCAACTTCCTTCTCAGCTACAGGGTCAGGCTCAGATTCAACAACTGGTTCAGACTCAACTTCTTTCTGAACAACAGGTTCAACCTCTGATTCAACAACTGGTTCAGACTCAACTTCCTTCTCAACTACAGGTTCAACCTCAGATTCAACAACTGGTTCAGAATGAACTTCCTTCTCGACTAAATGTTCGACCTCAGATTTAACAACTAGTTCATACTCAACTTCCTTCTCAGCTACACGTTCAACCTCAGATTCAACAAATAACTGAGGCTCAAGTTTTTCCTCCACATCATGTTCAACCTCTGATTCAACAACTGATTCAGATTCAACTTGTTTCTCAATTACAGATTCAACCTCTGATTCAACAACTGGTTCATATTCAACTTCTTCCTCAAAAACAGGTTCAACCTCAAATTCAACAACTTGTTCAGATTCAACTTCCTTCTCAATTACAGGTTCAACCTCAGATTCAATAACTTGTTCAGATTTAACTACTTTCTCAACTACAGGATCAACCTCAGATTCAAGAACTGGTTCGGATTTAACTTCCTTCTCAACTACAGGTTCAACCTCAGATTCAATAACTTGATCAGATTTAACTTCCTTCTCAACTGCAGGATCAACCCCAGATTCAACAAATGACTCAGGCTCATCTTCTTTCTCAACAGCAGGTTCAACCTCTGATTCAAGAACTGGTTTTGATTCAACATCTTCCTCAACATCAGGTTCAGAATCAAATTCCTTCTCAACTACAGCTTCAACCTCAGATTCTACAACTGGTTTGGATTCAACTTCTTTCTCAACTACAGATTCAACTTTAGGTTCAACAACTTGTTCAAGATCAGTTTCTTCTTCAACAACAGGTTCAACCTCTGGTTCAATACCTGGTTTAGATTCAATTTCTTCTTCAAAAACTGGTTTGACATCTTCAGCAACAAGTTCTGGTACCATTTTAAGTAGACTATCAAGAACATCAAATGCATCACCTGCCACTAAAGCTTTTGATTCAATGGCCCTAGAAACTTCTTCATCTGATTCAGTTTCATGTGTTTTAATAACCTGCGCCTCAAAGGTTGGTTCAACAAGTTCAGACTCAAAAGCTGGTTCAGATTCAATATCTTGAACAATTTCTTGTTCAATTTTAGCTGATTCAGATTTAACTTCTTCCTCAACATCAGGTTCAACCTCTGATTCTAGAAGTGGTTCAGATTCAACTTCTTCCTCAACAACAGGTTCAACCTCTGATTCAACAACTGGTTCAGACTCAACTTCCTTCTCAACTACAGGTTCAACCTCAGATTCAACAGATGACTCGGGCTCAACTTCTTCCTCAACATCAGGTCCGTCCTCTGATTCAAGAACTGGTTCAGATTCAACTTCTTCCTCAACAACAGGTTGAATCTCTGATTCAACAACTGGTTCAGACTCAACTTCCTTCTCAACTACAGGTTCAGGCTCAGATTCAACAACTGGTTCAGATTCAACTTCTTTCACAACTACAGCTTCAACCTCAGATTCAACAAATGGGCTAGGCTCACTTTCATCCTCTAGAACAGGTTCAACCTCTAATTCAAGAATTGGTTCAGACTCAACTTCTTTATTAGGTAAAGATTCAACTTCAGATTCAAAAACTGGTTCAGATTCAACTGTCTTATCAGTGACCGGTTCAAGCTTAGATTCAACAACTGGTTCAGAATCAATTTCCTTCTCAACTACAGGTTCAACCTCAGATTTCACAACTGGTACAGATTCAACTTCTTTCTCAACAACAGGTTCAACATCTGATTCAACAACCGGTTCAGACTCAACTTCTTTCTCAACAACATGTTCAACCTCAGATACAACAACTGATTCCGTATCAACTTCTTTCTCAACTACAGGTTCAACCTCAGATTTAATAACTTGTTCAGATTTAACTTCCGTCTCAACTACAGGATCAACCCAAGATTCAACAAATGACTCAGGCTCATCTTCTTTCTCAACAGCAGGTTCAACCTCTGATTCAAGAACTGGTTTTGATTCAACATCTTCCTCAACAACAGGTTCAGAATCAAATTCCTTCTCAACCACAGGTTCAAACTCAGATTCTACAACTAGTTCAGATTCAACTTCTTTCTCAACTACAGATTCAACCTCAGGTTCAACAACTTGTTCAAGATCAGTTACTTCTTCAACAACAGGTTCAACCTCTGGTTCAATACCTGGTTCAGATTCAATTTCTTCTTCAACAACAGGTTGGACATCTTCAGCAACAATATCTGGTACCATTTTTAGTAGACTATCAAGAACATCAAATGCATCACCTGCTACTAAAGCTTTTGATTCAATGGCACTGGAAACTTCATCTGATTTAGTTTCTTGTGTTTTAAGAACCTGTGCCTCAAAGGTTGGTTCAGCAAGTTCAGACTCAACAGCTGGTTCAGATTCAATATCTTGAACAATTTCATGTTCAATTCTAGCTGATTCAGATTTAACTTCTTCCTCAACATCAGGTTCAACCTCTGATTCTAGAACTGGTTCAGATTCAACTTCTCCCTCAACAAATGGTTCATACTCAACTTCCTTCTCAACAACAGGTTCAACCTCAGATTCAACAAATAACTCAGGCTCAAGTTCTTCCTCTACATCATGTCCAACCTCTGATTCAACAACTGATTCAGATTCATCTTCTTTCTCAACTTCAGGTTCAACTTCCTTCTCAACTACAGGTTCAATATCAGGCTCAACAAATGATTCAGATTCAACTTCCTTCTCAACTACAGGTTCAACCTCAGATTCAACAACTGGTTCAGAATGAACTTCTTTCTCCTCAACTACATGTTCAACCTCAGATTCAACTTCCTCTTCAACAACAGGTTCAACCTCTGATTCAACAACTGGTTCAGACTCAACTTCTTTCTCAACTACAGGTTCAACCTCAGATTCAACAACTGGTTCAGATTCAACTTCCTTCTCAACAACAGGGTCAACCTCAGATTTAAGAACTGGTTCAGATTCAACTTCCTTCTCAACAACAGGTTCAACCTCTGATTCAACAACTGGTTCAGACTCAACTTCTTTCTCAACTACAGGTTCAACCTCAGATTCAACAACTGGTTCAGATTCAGCTTCCTTCTCAACTACAGGTTCAACCTCAGATTCAACAGCTGGTTCAGTGGGAACTTCTTTCTCCTCAACTACATGTTCAACCTCAGATTCAACTTCCTCTTCAACAACAAGTTCAACCTCTGATTCAACAACTGGTTCTGATTCAACAACTGGTTCAGATTCAACTTCTTTCTCAACTACAGGTTCAACCTCAGATTCAACAACTTGTTCAAGATCAGTTACTTCTTCAACAACAGGTTCAACCTCTGGTCCAATACCTGGTTCAGATTCAATTTCTTCTTCAACAACAGGTTGGACATCTTCAGCAACAATATCTGGTACCATTTTTAGTAGACTATCAAGAACATCAAATGCATCACCTGCCACTAAAGCTTTTGATTCAATGGCACTGGAAACTTCATCTGATTCAGTTTCTTGTGTTTTAATCACCTGTGCCTCAAAGGTTGGTTCAACAAGTTCAGACTCAACAGCTGGTTCAGATTCAATATCTTGAACAATTTCATGTTCAATTTTAGCTGATTCAGATTTAACTTCTTCCTCAACATCAGGTTCAACCTCTGATTCTAGAACTGGTTCAGATTCAACTTCTCCCTCAACAAATGGTTCATACTCAACTTCCTTCTCAACAACAGGTTCAACCTCAGATTCAACAAATAACTCAGGCTCAAGTTCTTCCTCTACATCATGTTCAACCTCTGATACAACAACTGATTCAGATTCATCTTCTTTCTCAACTTCAGGTTCAACTTCCTTCTCAACTACAGGTTCAATATCAGGCTCAACAAATGATTCAGATTCAACTTCCTTCTCAACTACAGGTTCAACCTCAGATTCAACAACTGGTTCAGAATGAACTTCTTTCTCCTCAACTACAGGTTCAACCTCAGATTCAACAACTGGTTCAGAATAAACTTCTTTCTCCTCAACTACATGTTCAACCTCAGATTCAACTTCTTTTTCAACTACAGGTTCAACCTCAGATTCAACAACTAATTCAGATTCAGCTTCCTTCTCAACTACAGGTTCAACCTCAGATTCAACAACTGGTTCAGAATGAACTTCTTTCTCCGCAACTACATGTTCAACCTCAGATTCAACTTCCTCTTCAACAAAAGGTTCAACCTCTGATTCAACAACTGGTTCAGACTCAACTTCTTTCTCAACTACAGGTTCAACCTCAGATTCAACAACTGGTTCAGATTCAACTTCCTTCTCAACAACAGGGTCAACCTCAGATTTAAGAACTGGTTCAGATTCAACTTCCTTCTCAACAACAGGTTCAACCTCTGATTCAAGAACTGGTTCAGACTCAACTTCTTTCTCAACTACAGGTTCAACCTCAGATTCAACAACTGGTTCAGATTCAGCTTCCTTCTCAACTACAGGTTCAACCTCAGATTCAACAACTGGTTCAGAATGAACTTCTTTCTCCTCAACTACATGTTCAACTTCAGATTCAATTTCCTCTTTAACAACAGGTTCAACCTCTGATTCAACAACTGGTTCAGACTCAACTTCTTTATCAACTTCAGGTTCAACCTCAGATTCAACAACTGGTTCAAGATCAGTTACTTCTTCAACAACAGGTTCAACCTCTGGTTCAATACCTGGTCCGGATTCAATTTCTTCTTCAACAACTGGTTGGACATCTTCAGCAGCAAGTTCTGGTACCATTTTAAGTAGACTATCAAGAACATCAAATGCATCACCTGCCACTAAAGCTTTCGATTCAATGGCCCTGGAAACTTCTTCATCTGATTTAGTTTCTTGTGTTTTAATAACCTGCGCCTCAAAGGTTGGTTCAACAAGTTCAGACTCAACAGCTGGTTCAGATTCAATATCTTGAACAATTTCATGTTCAATTTTAGCTGATTCAGATTTAACTTCTTCCTCAACATCAGGTTCAACCTCTGATTCTAGAACTGGTTCAGATTCAACTTTTCCCTCAACAAATGGTTCATACTCAACTTCCTTCTCAACAACAGGTTCAACCTCAGATTCAACAAATAACTCAGGCTCAAGTTCTTCCTCTACATCATGTTCAACCTCTGATTCAACAACTGATTCAGATTCATCTTCTTTCTCAACTTCAGGTTCAACTTCCTTCTCAACTACAGGTTCAATATCAGGCTCAACAAATGATTCAGATTCAACTTCCTTCTCAACTACAGGTTCAACCTCAGATTCAACAACTGGTTCAGAATGAACTTCTTTCTCCTCAACTACATGTTCAACCTCAGATTCAACTTCTTTTTCAACTACAGGTTCAACCTCAGATTCAACAACTGGTTCAGATTCAGCTTCCTTCTCAACTACAGGTTCAACCTCAGATTCAACAACTGATTCAGAATGAACTTCTTTCTCCTCAACTACATGTTCAACCTCAGGTTCAACTTCCTCTTCAACAACAGGTTCAACCTCTGATTCAACAACTGGTTCAGACTCAACTTTCTCAACTACAGGTTCAACCTCAGATTCAACAACTGGTTCAGATTCAACTTCCTTCTCAACAACAGGGTCAACCTCAGATTTAAGAACTGGTTCAGATTCAACTTCTTTCTCAACAACAGGTTCAACCTCTGATTCAACAACTGGTTCAGACTCAACTTCTTTCTCAACTACAGGTTCAACCTCAGATTCATCAACTGGTTCAGATTCAGCTTCCTTCTCAACTACAGGTTCAACCTCAGATTCAACAACTGGTTCAGAATGAACTTCTTTCTCCTCAACTATATGTTCAACCTCAGATTCAACTTCCTCTTCAACAACAGGTTCAACCTCTGATTCAACAACTGGTTCAGACTCAACTTCTTTCTCAACTACAGGTTCAACCTCAGATTCAACAACTGGTTCAGATTCAACTTCCTTCTCAACAACAGGGACAACCTCAGATTTAACAACTGGTTCAGATTCAACTTCTTTCTCAACAACAGGCTCAACCTCTGATCCAACAACTGGTTCAGACTCAACTTCTTTCTCAACTACAGGTTCAACCTCAGATTCAACAACTGGTTCAGATTCAACTTCCTTCTCAACTACAGGTTCAACCTCAGATTCAACAACTGGTTCAGAATGAACTTTCTTCTCAACTACATGTTTGACCTCAGATTTAACAACTGGTTCATACTCAACTTCCTTCTCAGCTACAGGTTCAACCTCAGATTCAACAAATAACTGAGGCTCAAGTTTTTCCTCAACATCATGTTCAACCTCTGATTCAACAACTGATTCAGATTCAACTTGTTTCTCAATTACAGATTCAACCTCTGATTCATTAACTGGTTCATATTCAACTTCTTCCTCAAAAACAGGTTCAACCTCAAATTCAACAACTTGTTCAGATTCAACTTCCTTCTCAATTACAGGTGCAACCTCAGATTCAATAACTTGTTCAGATTTAACTTCCTTCTCAACTACAGGATCAACCTCAGATTCAAGAACTGGTTCGGATTTAACTCCCTTCTCAACTACAGGTTCAACCTCAGATTTAATAACTTGATCAGTTTTAACTTCCTTCTCAACTGCAGGATCAACCCCAGATTCAACAAATGACTCAGGCTCATCTTCTTGCTCAACAGCAGGTTCAACCTCTGATTCAAGAACTGGTTTTGACTTAACATCTCTCTCAACAACAGGTTCAGAATCAAATTCCTTCTCAACTACAGCTTCAAACTTAGATTCTACAACTGGTTTTGATTCAACTTCTTTCTCAACTACAGATTCAACTTTAGGTTCAACAACTTGTTCAAGATCAGTTTCTTCTTCAACAACAGGTTCAACCTCTGGTTCAATACCTGGTCCAGATTCAATTTCTTCTTCAACAACTGGTTGGACATCTTCAGCAGCAAGTTCTGGTACCATTTTAAGTAGACTATCAAGAACATCAAATGCATCACCTACCACTAAAGCTTTCGATTCAATGGCCCTGGAAACTTCTTCATCTGATTTAGTTTCTTGTGTTTTAATAACCTGCGCCTCAAAGGTTGGTTCAACAAGTTCAGACTCAACAACTGGTTCAGATTCAATATCTTGAACAATTTCATGTTCAGTTTTAGCTGATTCAGATTTAACTTCTTCCTTAACATCAGGTTCAACCTCTGATTCTAGAACTGGTTCAGATTCAACTTCTTCCTCAACAACAGGTTCAACCTCTGATTCAACAACTGGTTTAGTCTCAACTTCCTTCTCAACTACAGGTTCAACCTCAGATTCAACAGATGACTCGGGCTCAACTTCTTTCTCAACATCAGGTTCGTCCTCTGATTCAAGAACTGGTTCAGATTCAACTTCTTCCTCAACAACAGGTTGAATATCTGATTCAACAACTGGTTCAGACTCAACATCCTTCTCAACTACAGGCTCTGACTGAGATTCAACAACTGGTTCAAATTCAATTTCTTTCACAACTACAGCTTCAACCTCAGATTCAACAAATGGCCTAGGCTCACTTTCATCCTCTACAACAGGTTGAACCTCTGATTCAAGAATTGGTTCAGACTCAACTTCTTCCTCAAAAACAGGTTCAACCTCAAATTCAACAACTTGTTCAGATTCAACTTCCTTCTCAACTACAGGTTCAACCTCAGATTTAATAACTTGTTCAGATTTAACTTCCTTCTCAACTATAGGATCAACCCCAGATTCAACAAATGACTCAGGCTCATCTTCTTGCTCAACAGCAGGTTCAACCTCTGATTCAAGAACTGGTTTTGATTCAACATCTTCCTTAACAACAAGTTCAGAATCAAATTCCTTCTCAACCACAGGTTCAAACTCAGATTCTACAACTGGTTTGGATTCAACTTCTTTCTCAACTACAGATTCAACTTCAGGTTCAACAACTTGTTCAAGATCTGTTTCTTCTTCAACAACAGGTTCAACCTCTGGTTCAATACCTGGTTCAGATTCAATTTCCTCTTCAACAACAGGTTGGACATCTTCAGCAACAAGTTCTGGTACCATTTTTAGTAGACTGTCAAGAACATCAAATGCATCACCTGCCACTAAAGCTTTTGATTCAATGGCACTGGAAACTTCATCTGATTCAGTTTCGTGTGTTTTAATAACCTGCGCCTCAAATGTTGGTTCAACAAGTTCAGACTCAACAACTTGTTCAGATTCAATATCTTGAACAATTTCATGTTCAATTTTAGCTGATTCAGATTTAACTTCTTCCTCAACATCAGGTTCAACCTCAGATTCTAGAAGTGGTTCAGATTCAACTTCTTCCTCAACAACAGGTTCAACATCTGATTCAACAACTGGTTCAGACTCAACTTCCTTCTCAACTACAGGTTCAACCTCAGATTCAACAGATGAATCGGGCTCAACTTCTTCCTCAACATCAGGTTCGTCCTCTGATTCTACAACGGGCTCAGATTCAACTTCTTCCTCATCAACAGGTTCAACCTCTGATTCAACAACATGTTCAGACTCAACTTCTTTCTCAACTACAGGTTCAACCTCAGATTCAACAACTGGTTCAGATTCAACTTCTTTCAAATCTACAGCTTCGACCTCAGATTCAACAAATGGCCCAGGCTCACTTTCTTCCTCAACAATAGATTCAACCTCTGATTCAAAAATTGGTTCAGATTCAACTGTCTTATCAGTGACAGGTTCAAGCTCAGATTCAACAACTGGTTCAGGTTCAACTTCCTTCTCAACTACAGGTTTAGGCTCAGATTCACCAACTGGTTCAGAGTCAACTTCCTTCTCAACTACAGGTTCAAGCTTAGATTCAACAACTGGTTCAGGTTCAACTTCCTTCTCAACAACAGGTTCAACCTCAGATTCAACTTCCTTCTCTACTACATTTTCCCACTTAGATTCAACACCTGGTTCAGATTCTACTTCTTTCTGAACTACAGGTTCAACATCAGATTTGACATTTGGTTCAGAATCAATTACCTTCTCAACTACAGGTTCAACCTTAGATTCAGACTCAACTTCTTTCTCAACAACAGGTTCAACCTCTGATTCAACAACTGGTACAAACTCAACTTCTTTCTCAACGACAGGTTCAACCTCAGATTCAACAAATGACTCAGGCTCAATTTCTTCCTCAACATCAGGTTCAACCTCTGATTCCAGAACTGGTTCAGATTCAACTTCTTCCTCAACAACAGGTTCAACATATGATTCAACAACTGGTTCAGACTCAACTTCTTTCTCAACTACAGGTTCAACCTCAGATTCAACAAATTTCTCAGTCTCAACTTCTTCCTCAACATCAGGTTCGACCTCTGATTCAAGAACTGGTTCCGATTCAACTTCTTCCTCAACAACAGGTTGAATCTCGGATTCAAGAATTTGTTCAGATTCAACAACAGGTTCAGAATCAAATTCCTTCTCAACTACAGGTTCAAACTCAGATTCAACAACTGGTTCAGACTCAACTTCCTTCTCAACAACAGGTTCGACCTCAGATTCCAGAACTGGTTCAGATTCAACTTCTTCCTCAACAACAGGTTCAACCTCAGATTCCAGAACTGGTTCAGATTCAACTTCTTCCTCAACAACAGGTTCAACCTCTGATTCAACAACTGGCTCAGACTGAACTCCCTTCTCAAGTACAGGTTCAACCTCACATTCAACAAATGACTCAGGCTCAACTTCTTCCTCAACATCAGGTTCGACCTCTGATTCAAGAACTGGTTCAGATTCAACTTCTTCCTCAACAGATTGAATCTCTGATTCAACAACTGGTTCTGACTCAACTTCCTTCTCAACTACAGGTTTAGGCTCAGATTCAACAACTGTTTCAGATTCAACTTCTTTCACAACTACAGCTTCAACCTCAGAATCAACAAATGGCCCAGGCTCTCTTTCATCCTCTACAACAGGTTCAACCTCTGATTCAAGAATTGGTTCAGATTCAACTTCCTTATTAGTTATAGATTCAACTTCAGATTCAAAAACTGGTTTAGATTCAACTGTCTTTTCAGTGACAGGTTCAAGCTCAGATTCAACAACTGATTCCAATTCAACTTCTTTCTCAACTACAGGTTCAACCTCAGATTCAACAAATGACTCAGGATCAACTTCTTCCTCAACATCAGGTTCAACCTCTGAATCTACAACTCGTTCAGATCCAACTTCTTCCTCAACAACAGGTTCAACCTCTGATTTAACAACTGGTTCAGACTCAACTTCCTTCTCAACAACAGGTTCAACCTCAGATTCAACAACTGGTTCAGACTCAACTTCTTTCTCAAGAACAGGTTCAACCTCTGATGCAAGAACTGGTTCAGATTCAACTTCTTCCTCAACATCAGGTTCGACCTCTGATTCTAAAACTGGTTCAGATTCAACTTCCTCTTCAACAACAGGTGCAACCTCTGATTCAACAACTGGTTCAGACTCAACTTCTTTCTCAACTACAGGTTCAACCTCAGATTCAACAAATGTCTCAGGCTCAACTTCTTCCTCAACATCAGGTTCGACCTCTGATTCAAGAACTGGTTCAGATTCAACTTCTTTCTCAACAAGAGGTTCAACCTCTGATTCAACAACTGGTTCAGACTCAACTTCTTTCTCAACTACAGGTGTAACCTCAGATTCAACAAATTTCTCAGGCTCAACTTCTTCCTCAACATCAGGTTCGACCTCTGATTCAAGAACTGGTTCAGATTCAACTTCTTCCTCAACAACAGGTTGAATCTCTGATTCAAGAATTTGTTCAGATTCAACAACAGGTTCAGAATCAAATTCCTTCTCAACTACAGGTTCAACCTCAGATTCAACAACTGGTTCAGACTCAACTTCCTTCTCAACTACAGGTTTGACCTCAGATTCACCAACTGGTTCAGATTCAACTTCTTTCACAACTACAGCTTCAACCTCAGATTCAACAAATGGCCCAGGCTCATGATCATCCTCTACAACAGGTTCAACCTCTGATATAAGAATTGGTTCAGATTCAACTTCCTTATTAGTTATAGATTCAACTTCAGATTCAAAAACTGGTTCAGATTCAACTGTCTTATCAGTGACAGGTTCAAGCTCAGATTCAACAACTGGTTCAGGTTCAACTTCCTTCTCAACAACAGGTTCAACCTCAGATTCAACTTCCTTCTCTACTTCATTTTCCCCCTCAGATTCAACAACTGGTTCAGATTCTACTTCTTTCTGAACTACAGGTTCAACATCAGATATAACAACTGGTTCAGAATCAATTTCCTTCTCAACTACAGGTTCAATCTCAGATTTCAGAACTGGTACAGATTCAACTTCTTCTTCAACAACAGGTTCAACCTCTGATTCAGCAACCGGTGCAGACTCAACTTCCTTCTCAACAACATGTTCAACCTCAGATACAACAACTGAATCAGATTCAATTTCCTTCTCAACTACAGGTTCAACCTCAGATTCTACAAATGACTCAGGCTCAACTTCTTCCTCAACATCAGGTTCAACCTCTGATTCTATAACTGGTTCAGATTCAACTTCTTCCTCAACAACAGGTTCAACCTCTGATTCAACAACATGTTCAGACTCAACTTCCTTCTGAACTACAGGTTCAACCTCAAATTCAACAACTGGTTCAGATTCAACTTCTTTCACAACTACAGCTTCAACCTCAGATTCAACAAATGGCCCAGGCTCACTTTCTTCCTCTACAACAGGTTCATCCTCTGATTCAAGAATTGGTTCAGATTCAACTGTCTTATCAGTTACAGATTCAAATTCAGATTGAACAACTGGTTCAGGTTCAACTTTCTTCTCAACTACAGGTTCAACCTCAGATTCAACTTCCTTCTCTACTACATTTTCCCCCTCAGATTCAATAACTGGTTCAGATTCTACTTCTTTCTGAACTACAGGTTCAACATCAGGTTTAACAACTGGTTCAAAATCAATTTCCTTCTCAACTACAGGTTCTACCTCAGATTCAGACTCAACTTCTTCCCCAACAACAGGTTCAACCTCTGATTCAACAACTGGTACAAACTCAACTTCCTTCTCGACGACAGGTTCAACCTCAGATTCAACAAATGACTCAGGCTCAATTTCTTCCTCAACATCAGGTTCAACCTCTGATTCTAGAACTTGTTCAGATTCAACTTCTTCCTCAACAACAGGTTCAACCTCTGATGGTTCAGACTCAACTTCCTTCTCAGTTACAGATTCAAATTCAGATTGAACAACTGGTTCAGGTTCAACTTTCTTCTCAACTACAGGTTCAACCTCAGATTCAACTTCCTTCTCTACTATATTTTCCCCCTCAGATTCAATAACTGGTTCAGATTCTACTTCTTTCTGAACTACAGGTTCAACATCAGGTTTAACAACTGGTTCAAAATCAATTTCCTTCTCAACTACAGGTTCTACCTCAGATTCAGACTCAACTTCTTCCCCAACAACAGGTTCAACCTCTGATTCAACAACTGGTACAAACTCAACTTCCTTCTCAACGACAGGTTCAACCTCAGATTCAACAAATGACTCAGGCTCAACTTCTTCCTCAACATCAGGTTCAACCTCTGATTCAAGAACTGGTTCAGATTCAACTTCTTCCTCAACAACAGGTTTAATCTCTGATTCAACAACTGGATCAGACTCAACTTCCTTCTCAACTACAGGTTTAGACTCAGAGTGAACAACTGGTTCAAATTCAACTTGTTTCACAACTACAGCTTCAACCTCAGATTCAACAAATGGCCCAGGCTCACTTTCTTCATCTAGAACAGGTTCAACTGATTCAAAAATTGGTTCAGATTCAACTTCCTTATCAATTATAGATTCAACCTCAGATTCAAAAACTGGTTCAGATTCAACTGCCTTATCAGTGACAGGTTCAACCTCAGATTCAACAACTGGTTCAGGTTCAACTTCCTTCTCAACTACAGGATCAACCTCAGGTTCAACTTCCTTCTCAACTACAGGATCAACCTCAGATTCAACTTCATTCTCTACTACATTCTCCCCCTCAGATTCAACAACTGGTTCAGATTCTACTTCTTTCTGAACTACAGGTTCAACCACAGATTTCACAACTGGTACAGATTCAACTTCTTCCTCAACAACAGGTTCAACCTCTGATCCAACAACTGGTTCAGATTCAAGTTCCTTCTCAACTACAGATTCAACCTCAGCTTCAATAACTGATTCAAGATTAGCTTCTTCCTCAACAACAGGTTTTACCTCAATACCTGGTTCAGATTCAATTTCTTCTTGAACAACAGTTTGGACATCTCCAGCAATAGGCTCTGGTACCAATTTTAATAAACTATCAAGAACATCAAATGCATCACTTGCCACTATAGCTTTCAATTCAATTGCACTTGAAACTTCTTCATGTGATTCAGTTTCTTGTTTTTTAATAACTTGCTCCTCAAATGTGGGTTCAACAAGTTCAGACTGAACAACTGGTTCAGTTTCAATATCTTGAACAACTAAATGCTCAATCTCAATTGGTTCAGACTGAACGTCTTCCTCAACAACAGGTTCAACCTCTGATTCAAGAACTAGTTTAGATTCAACTTCCTTCTGATAAACAGGTTCAACACTTGGTTCCGATTCAACTTCCTTATCAGCTACAGGTTCAACTTCAGATTCAACAACTGGTTCACCCTCAGCTTCTTCCTCAAATGCAGGTTGAACCTCTGATTCAATAACTGGTTTAAATTCAACTTCTTTATAAGCTTCTTCCTCAACAGCAGTTCCAACCTCTGATTCAAGAACTGGTTCAGATTCAACTTCTTTTTCAACTACAGGTTCAAGCTCAGATTCAACCATTGACTCTGCCTCAACTTCTTCCTCAACAACAGGTTCAACCCCTGATTCAAGAACTTGTTTTGATTCAACTTCCTTATCAGTTAAAAATTCAACCTCAGATTTAACTTCCTTATTAGTTACAGGGTCAACCTCTGATTCAACAACTGGTTCAAATTCAACTTCTTTTTCAACTACAGGTTCAAGCTCAGATTCAACCATTGACTCTGCCTCAACTTCTTCCTCAACACCAGGTTCAAGCTCTGATTCAAGAAATGGTTCAGATTCAACTTTCTTCTCAACAACATGTTCAACCTCAGATACAACAACTGATTCCGATTCAATTTCTTTCTGAACTACAGGTTCAACCTCAGATTCAACAAATGGCTCAGGTTCAACTTCTTCCTCAACAATAGGTTCAACCTCAGATTCGATAACTGGTTCAGATTCAATTTCATCCTGAACAATAGGATCAACCTCTGATTCAAGAATTGGTTCAGCTTTGACTTCCTTCTCAACTACAAGTTCACCCTCAAATTCAACAACTGGTTCAGATTCAACTTCCTTCTCGACTACAAGTTCACTCTCAGATTCAATAACTGGTTCAGATTCAAGTTCTTCAAGAACAGGTTCAACCTCTGATTCAAGAACCCATTCAGATTCAACTTTCTTATCAGTTACAGATTCAACCTCAGATTCCAAAACTAGTTCAGATTCAACTTCCTTATCAACATCAGGTTGAACCTCAGATTCCACAACTGGTACAGATTCAACTTCTTTGTCAACTACAGGTTCATCCTCAGATGCAAGAACTGGTTCAGATTCAACTTCTTTCTCAAGAGCAGGTTCAACCTTAGATCCAACAGATGGATCAGGCACAGCTTCCTTCTCAACAAAATGTTCAACCTCAGATTCAACAACTGGTTCAGGTACAACCTCTTTCACAACTACAGGCTCAACCTCAGATTCAACAAATGGCTCGGGCTCAATTTCTTCCTCAGTAGATTTAACATCTGATCCAAGAACTGGTTCAGATTCAACTTCTTTCTCAACAAAAGGTTCAATCTCTGATTCAACAACTGGTTCAGACTCAATTTCCTTCTCATCAACAGTTTCAACCTCAGATTCAACAACTGGTTCAGATTCAAATTCTTTCTCATATACAGGTTCAACCTTAGATCCAACAGATGGGTCAGGCTCAACTTCTTCCTCAACAGGTTCAATCTCTGATTCAAGAACGCGTTCAGATTCAACTTCCTTATCAGTTAAAGGTTGAACCTCTGATTCAACTTCTTTCTTGATAACAGGCTCAGATTCAAGATCTGGTTCTGATTCAACTTCCTTATCAGTGACAGGTTCATACTCAGATTCAACAACTTGTGCAGATTCAACTTCTTGCTTTACTACAGGTTCAACCTCGGATTCAACAAATGGTTCAGAATGACCTTCTTCATGAACAAGAAGTTCAACCTCTGATTCAATACCTGATTCAGATTCAATTTCTTTTTCAAGAAAAGGTTGGACATCTTCAGCAATAGGTTCTGGCACAATTTTTAATAGGCTATCAAGAACATCAAATGCATCACCTGCCACAACTGCTTTTGATTCTATGGCACTTGAAACTTCTTCATCTGATCCAATTTCTTGAGTTTTAATAACTTGCTTCTCAAATGTGGATTCAATTTCAGACTCAACTACTTTATCAATAACAGGTTCAACCTCTGATTCAATAACTGGTTTAGATTCATTGTCTTCTTCAACTTTAGATTTAATAACTGGTTCAAACTTATCAACAACAGGTTCAACCTCTGTTTCCAGAACTTGTTCAGATTCAACTTCCTTATCAATAACAGGTTCGACCTCTGATTCAATAAATGGTTTAGATTCAATGTCTTCCTTAAATTCAACTATAGGATCATGATCAGATTCTTCCTCAACAAGAGGTTCAACCTCTGCTTCAACAGTCGTTTTAAACTCAATTTCATCCTTAACAACAGGTTCAAACTCTGATTCAAGAACTACTTCAGATTCAACTTCCTTCTTCTCAACAAGTTCAACCTCAGATTCAGCAACTGGTTCAGATTCAACAACTGGTTCAGATTCAACTTCCATGTAAACTACGGGTTCAACCTCAGATTGAATAACTGGTTCTGTCTCAACTGGTTCAGATTCAATGTCTTTCTCAACAAAAGGTTCAATCTCTGATTCAACAAATGGTTCAGACTCAACTTCCTTCTTCTCAACAAGTTCAACCTCAGATTCAACAACTGGTTCAGATTCAACAACTGGTTCAGATTCAACTTCCATATCAACTTCAGGTTCACCCTCAGATTCAACAACTGGTTCAATTTCAACTTCTTTCTCAACTTCAGGTTCAACCTCAGATTCAAGAACTGGTTCAAACTCAGATTCTTCCTCAACAAGAGGTTCAACCTCTGATTCAAGAAGTGGTTCAGATTCAAGTTCCTTAACAGTTACAGGTTCAACCTCAGATTCAACAACTAGTTCAGACTCAACTTCCTTCTCAGCAACAGGTTCAACCTCAGATTCAACTATTGGTTCAGATTCAACTTTCTTCTCAACTACAGGTTCAACCTCAGATTCAATGAATGGCTCAGGCTCAACTTCCTCCTCAACTACAGGTTCAACCCCTGATTCAAGAACTGGTTCAGATTCAACTTCTTCCTCAACAACAGCTTCAACCTCTAATTTAAGAACTGGTTCAGATTCAACTTCTTTCTCAACAGGTTCAACGTCTGATTCAAGAATTGGTTCAGATTCAACTTCCTTATCAGTAAGAGGTTCAACCTCTGATGCAGCAACTGGTTTAGACTCAACGGATTCAAGTTCCTTATCAGTTACTGGTTCAACCACAGATTCAACAACTAGTTCATGATCAGCTTCTTCCTCAACAAGAGGATCAATCTCTGATTCAACAAATGTTTTGAACTCAACTTCATCAACAACAGGTTCAGCCTCTGATTCAAGAACTAGTTCAGATTCAACTCCCTTCTTATCAACAAGTTCAACCTCAGATTCAACAACTGGTTCAGATTCAAGTTCCTTATCAGTTCCTGGTTCAGATTCAAGAACTGGTCCAAACTGAGCTTCCTCCTTTACAAGATGTTCAACCTTTGATTTAACAACCGTTTTAAACTCAACCTCATCCTCTACAACAGGTGCAACCTCTGATTCAAGAACTGGTTGAGACTCAAGTTCCTTATCAGTCACAGGTTCAATCTCAGATTCAACAACTCGTTCATGATCAGCTTCTTCCTCAACAAGAGGTTCAACCTCTGATTCAATAACTGTTTTAAACTCAACTTCATCCTTAACAACAGGGTCAACCTCTGATTCAAATTCAACATCTTCCTCAACTACCTTATCAGTGACAGGTTCAACCTCAGATTTAACAACTGGTTCAAACTCAGCTTCTCTCTCAATAACATGTTCAACCTCTGATTTAATAACTGGTTTAGATTCAACTTCTTCCTGAACAACCAGTTCAACCTCTGTTGTAAGAATTGGTTCAGATTCAACTTCCTTATCAGTCACAGGTTCAAACTCAGATTCAACAACTTGTTCCTGATCAGCTTCTTCCTTAACAAAAGGTTCACCCTTTGATTCGATAATCATTTGAAGCTCCATTTCATCCTTAATAACAACTTCAACCCCTGATTCAAGAACTAGTTCAGATTCAACTTCCTTATCATCATCAAGTTCAACCTCAGATTCATCAACTGGTTCAGATTCAACTTCCTTATTAACTGCAAACTCAACCTCAGATTGAATAACTGGTTCGGATTCAACTTCGTCCTCAACAACAGGTTCAACCTCTGATTCAAGAATTTGTTCAGATTCAACTTCCTTATCAGTTACAGGTTCAACCTCAGATTCAAGAACTGATTCAGACTTAACTTCCTTCTCAACTATGGGTGCAACCTCTGATTCAACAATTGGTTCCTCATCAACAATAGGTTCAACCTCTGATTCAATAACTGCATCAGATTCAACTCCCTTCTCATCAATAGTTTCAACCATAGATTCAAGAACTGGTTCAGACTCAACTTCCTTCTCAACTAAAGGTTCAACCTCTGATTCAAAAACTGATTCTTCATGAACAACAGTTTCAACCTCTGATTCAAGAACTGGTTCAAATTCAACTTCTTTATAAGCTTCTTCCTCAACAGCAGTTCCAACCTCTGATTCAAGAATTGGTTCAGATTCAACTACCTTTACAGCTACAGGTTCAAGCTCAGATTCGACAACTGGTTCAGTTTCAATTTCTTTCTCAGCTACAGGTTCTACCTCATATTCAACAACTGGTTTAGACTTAATTTCCAACTCAACAACAGGTTCAACTTCAGATTCAACAACTGGTTCAGACACAACTTCATCCTGAACAACAACTTGCTTCTCAGCTACAGGTTCAACCTGAGATTGTACAACTGGCTCAGGCTCAATTTTTTCAACTTCCTTATTAACTCCAGGCTCAACCTCAGATTGAATAACTGGTTCAGACTCAACTTCCTTCTTCTCAACAAGTTCAACCTCAGATTCAACAACTGGTTCAGATTCAACAACTGGTTCAGACTCAACTTTCTTCCCCACTTCAGGTTTACCCTCAGGTTCAATAACTGGTTCAGATTCAACTTCTTCCTCAACAACAGGTTCAACCTCTGATTCAAGAATTTGTTCAGATTCAACTTCCTTATCAGTTACAGGTTCAACCTCAGATTCAAGAACTGATTCAGACTTAACTTCCTTCTCAACTATGGCTGCAACCTGTGATTCAACAATTGATTCCTCATCAAAAATAGGTTCAACCTCTGATTCAAGAACTGCATCAGATTCAACTCCCTTCTCATCAATAGTTTCAACCATAGATTCAAGAACTGGTTCAGACTCAACTTCCTTCTCAACTAAAGGTTCAACCTCTGATTCAAAAACTGATTCTTCATCAACAATAAGTTCAACCTCTGATTCAACAACTGGTTCAGATGCAACTTTCTTCTCAACTACAGGTTCATCCTCTTTAATCTCTTTCTCCTCAATTGGTTGTACCTCTGATTCAATTATTGTCTCAGATTTAACCACTTCTTCAACACCAGGTTCTACCTCTGATTCAATTATTGTCTCAGATTTAACCACTTCTTCAACACCAGGTTCTACCTCTGATTCAATTATTGTCCTAGATTTAACCACTTCTTCAACACCAGGTTCTACCTCTGATTCAATCATTGTCTCAGATTTAACCACTTCTTCAACACCAGGTTCTACCTCTGATTCAATTATTGTCCCAGATTTAACCACTTCTTCAACACCAGGTTCTACCTCTGATTCGATCATTGTCTCAGATTTAACCACTTCTTCAACACCAGGTTCTACCTCTGATTCAATCATTGTCTCAGATTTAACCACTTTCTCAACATATTCCTCTGATTTAACTTCTGGTTCAACATCTGATCTGACTACTTCTATCTCTAACTTAATAGGTTCATAGTTTGAATCAAGCAAAGGTTCGGACTGTGCAACTCCTTGATCTTTTTGTGGTTGTTTAGCTTCATGTGTAATAACCCAATCATCTTCTGTTGAGTCCTCATCTTCTTCACTCTCTTCATATTCAGCACTATCATATTCCTCCCAGTCTTCCTCGTCACTTACATCCATCTGAACAGATATTTTTGTTTTTGATCTCTTTTTAGAGTCTGTCCTACTTAAGCTTGATTTAGGCGATCTTTTAGTTTCTGTCAGATCTGCATCAGCTGCAGATGACAAAGGTTTAATTCCCTCAACAGTTCTATTTTCCTCTATTCTAGACTGCTCCTCTTGAGATTCATCAAGTTTGGCACAAGGCACTACCCCTTCTGAATCTTGTTGGTCCTCAGTCTCAAGTGTTGATTGATCCATAGATATTACATCATATGTTGCCTTTATCAATAGTGTACTATCTGATATGGCTTTGTCAGTATCTTCAATTACCTTGTCCTCACTTACTACTTCGTAACAAGATTCAAGTAATTGGTCTTTTGGCTTGGACTCCATCTTGTCATCTAACACAGTTTCCTCTGTTAATTCTTCACGTAACTTATCTAGTTCATCACTTATCAAATCTGATATTTCTTTGGTCAATTCAATATCTGCATTTGCATCAGCTCTAGTGATATCACTTTCCTTTTGTGTCTCCAATTGAGCCTCCCCCGACTCATCCTTCCTTTCTACAACCTCATCTTCTTTTTTAGATATGTGAATATCTTTTTCTGTTAACTCTGTTTGAACATCCTGTTTCACCATTTCAAACTCCATTTCCTCACATGGAGCTCCTTCACTTTTCTCAGGTGTTATGTCTATGTAAGGCTGTCGCTCCTTAGGTTCATCCAATTCAGTATATAGCTTAGTTTCAGTTGTCTGAAGTGGATCTATAGTGTCAGGATATATTTCTATATACTCTCCTGGTTGTTGCTGTTGAATGTCTTTGGCCATTGGCTCTACAGATGACTGTTCAGTTGGTCTTGCCTCAAACAACTCTTCACCTATATCATGTGGTTTTGTCATCATCGTTTCAAGATCTTCAACATATATGGCCTTTTGTTCAGCTACTACAGTCATATCTGTGGTAATATGATCATCTTGAACAGCTTCCAGTTCAGTTGTTTCTTCGGATTTATCTGATTCATCTATTCCTTGTATGATGTGCTCAGTGGTTAGTTTTTCTGTTATTTGCTCATGCTGAATACCAATATAATCAAAAGATGGCATGTCTGTATCATCTATAACTACCATGCTGTCGGATATATCATCGACCAGTGTGTCTGTCTGTGTGTCCTCACCCTCAGAGGTCACCATAGCAACACTCGGCGATATTAATACAGACTGCGCGGGTTCAGGTTTACCTTTAGTGTGTAATTATCCAGCCCAGGGTAATCCAAAGGGGGGAAGCATGAAAGAGAGGAAAAACAGGACAGTGTTAAGATCACGTTATTTCAACGTAAGTGATATAAGACCAAAATCAAGCATAAAACAAAGCAAAAATAGAAGCGGAACAGGGGTGCTAAATGGGAATGGGTTAAGGAAAATTGGTAAAAGGCAAGGATGAAAATAAACTAACTTAGAAATTATGAGTAGTTGGGACTGGATATTAGAGTGTGTGTGATGGATGGATGGATGTATGAAGGATTGTCAATGTCAAGTATAATGGAAAGGTCCAGTAACATTGTTAAACACACTCCACACTGACTGACTGACTCACTATATGTTCTGTTATGACTAAGAGGCATGCTACTTCTGAGTACGTTATGAATGATAAGGTGGTTAATGATTGTTTATACCACAGAGATAATAATATATACCTCCTAGTCGATCCTTCTGGCGTCAGCATAGTCACGTTTAATATCACATTAGTAACAAGCTCACTGTGGCATAAATTAGTACAAAATGCGGAACATGCTGAAAAGTCCTCTAGTGTTGACAGAGAATTTTCAAATTAATCATTTTAATAATAGCGTGAATTACATTAAAATCCTTACCTAACTCTTAACTAACTTAGTAATAAAAATAACTCTTAATTTGCTAGGCATATTTAGCATAAGTGTGACATAAGCAAAGTGAAAAGCTTCAATTATTTTGATGAACCTGAGCTAATATTAGACAAGTAGTCAACACTAGGGGGTTGAGAGGATGATCAATGACAAATGATGATAAAGGATGAAGATGATGAGAAGATTATCATTTCCGGAGAATCACAGAAGAAAATAAATGAAACATATCAATTGGCCCAATGTGATTTCCCCCATTGAGCATTTCTCTACCCAATAATCTAAACATATGTAATATAATTATCCCAAACAATTTCCTTTCCAATAATGAAAAAATCCTCGATGAAATTTTTAAATAAAAGAAGATTTAAAATTACTTCTCAATTTATTTTTCACAATTCAACCATGCCAATGCAATTATATTAGTCTATTTCATGTACAGAGTGACACAAAAAGGGTTGAACATCTGTAAGTAAGTTACATTAAGAAGTCTTTCACCCAAAACTTAATTTTCAACCTACTTAAAATTCTGTGGAGTAGGGTCCAAAATTTCAAAAATCCCCAAAAATTAAAAATTTTTGTGCGATTAAATTCTGTGATTCTCCATTGAATAATGAAATGACTGATTCTATAATGTAAATCATCTTTCTCCAAATGTAGAAATTTTCCTGCGACTGTCTCCTCCTCACTGCAGGCCAATTACTGCATTTGGAGAATGGAAAATGACCTTACTGTGACTGGCATGCCTGAATGACCAATCATCAATTCAATGTGTCAGGTAACTTCAGCTAAATGCTCCATGCATGTGTGGCCAAAATGCCGCAAACTGCCTGCCGAAATTGCCTCTGCCAAATCTTTATACATCAATCAATCCACATGCAAAAATATCAAGTCTATTTTACATTAATATTACAGTATAACATCTACGTTAATATATTTTATATGATTCCCATATAATATGAACATGCATTACTCTATATGTATAGGTTATGTAATAATGTTTGTACCTTCGTTGTCATCTGCCTCTGTTTCCATGGGAACCTCATCTTCATGGTCCAAATCCGGCTGCAGCTCTGTGTGAAAATAAACATGAGCATGAACCTGAGAACAACATTGAGATCTATGTGCTAGTGCACAACTCACATTCTTTTACTATACCCCTATGTGTAAGAATGCCACACTGGTCATTATCTTCATACTTGAATCTCTCAGATTATGTTAACAAGATAAATAACAAACTAAGTTCCAATATAGAGTTGAGTGAAAAAGTTTGAAAATCTATGTAAGACATCATCACAAAACAAGCATCTTAATTGATATCATCAGATTTTAATTATTATCAATCAATTTATCAGTCAATCACACTGATATCAATCAGTTTCATTTACCATTTTGAAATAGTATTTAGACAATTTTTACAATGATTTTTGGACTATGATCTATATGTATTGAGAGATTCAGATTTTAATCTAAATCAGATGTAGAACATAGGACGACCATTGTGACATTGTGCCAGGGATGGGGGGGGGATTGCACATTCAAGTTAATACTATATAAAAGGTGACTAGTCTACCACTTGACACCTGAAATACAAAACAGAACAATCATTGCATAATCAATATTATCATTCTGCTAATTTGACTGATTGCAGATACTTGTCCATTCCCTTGATTAATTCTGGTAATTCTGAGGAGAGCACTGCAGCAATGGAGCAGACTGCAAAGGGGAATTTAAGGCTGAATAATAGAAATATATCAGGCTTGAGTGAAGAGTCTGAATTGCAGGGAAATGCCAGAAAAGCAGACATTATTGAGAATCAATATCCAATATGTTAAATATAGTACAGTACAGTAAAATCTCTGGTCTCTTCTTATATTTGAAACTAGCAAGTGTTTTAGTAATAAATCTATCCATCTTGCCCTCCCGTACAATTATCACAATCAAATAATACAAAACCATGTGAAATGCCAGTACTAGTGTTCACAGAATTAACAGGATTTAATGTATTGTACTATTAATTTTGATTTCAAAGAGAAAGGAGACGATGAGAACTAAAAGATTTTGAGCTTGGAATGTAAAGATTGCATAGATCTACTCTTAAGGTGAATTGTATCTTTGTACTGATATGAGCAATTAATCCTGAATGTAGAACTATATAGGAGTTGAGAGAAACTGAGGTTCGGCAAACTCCAACATAAAATATACAAAATAAAAGTTATTTAATTAATAACGTAATACGTATAAATCAGAATCAATAAAGCTATGTCATTTTTCACACTTAACCCCTCTGCTGCAGATTTTATGAAGTTCAGATGTTTATATCAATATTGACTTCCATCCATTACCATGAAACTTGAGATTTCCATTTTCATGAATGACTATATTGGCCTGAATAGACTAGATGCAAGTAGAAATAATCTTGATTTACGTCATCAAAAATTCAAAATTCAGTCAAACCGATGTCATATTTGAAATCTACATGTAGAATTACATCTAGAAATGTGGTTTTGAAAAGAGTTTTTCAATTTCGAAAATTTAATTTTCTTTGAAAATGTGACTTCTAGGTCGGGGAGATTCCCCGTAGAGCCCATGTTGTAAAATCACAAAAAGTGAAATATCTTTTCTTATGTTGGGCAGATAATATTTTCTTTTACCGGACATACTTTAATTTGTATAACTATCAGATACAAAAGGGTAATATGAAAAGTGAACCACTAAAACTGATGAATATTCAAGTTTAAGGGAATTTTGTAATACCCTACCATGTTATTTCCCCCGACTCAGCCACCTGGTGGTGAAACTGGTAACTACCTACTCGCATCTGAGTAATTGACAGAGACACGTAAGTGATTACAATAACTGACAAATGTTCACTGAAATGGACAATTAATGTTTTTTTAACATTACATTACTTTTCGATTTAATATGAACTTGTTCAAAATTCAAGATTCATAAATCTCCAAACTTTTGTTAAACGGAGAATAGAATTGATAGGCTACTTAAACCTTTAAAATTGATGCATTTTCACTGAATGAAAATATCGCATGTCAGCCTAGATTTAAAACGAGGCATTACAAATTGGATGAGCAAAAAATATTGTAAAATATTGACAATTTCCCCATAAATTATCCTCACACCACAACTATCATTTGGTGCCACTTTAAATAAAAAAAACTGCCAACATAATAAAATGTAAATATGAACGGAATTGGAATTTGTAAAATGCTCTTTTGATTACATCTCTTCTCATTTCATAGAGGAATAACAAATCTGAACAATTGTTTCAAATGAAACATATTTTAACAATATGAAAACTAACATGGCACCTCCCCAAACTGACCTATATTAGTGATATACATATGTATCTACCCCTAATATTGAGCTTAATCTGTCTGCAGCAAAGGAGTGAAAGATGACATTCCAGCAGGGACATATCCACATATACATGACCAGACAACAATAAAGATTGTGCTGGAAAATTGACAGTGCAGACACAATTTAATAGTCCATTTTTGCTACCTTCCTCCTCTGTGTGCTTCTCAAGTCCAAAATATTTGACGAAATCTTCCTCATCAGCGGGTAATGTATTGTCTTCAGTGATGGTTATTATTGGGGTACCAGGTGTATCATCAAAACTTGTGACTGGAAACGAAAGACCAAAATTACCCAAAGCAGATGGGACCATCCTCTAGGTCTACTAGGCTGTCATGTACATCCAAACAATTTCAGTGGTTCATAGGTCATTTGGATGATCTTAATATAAAGATACATCCCCATGAAAACAGAATATACTTTTTTTCTGATTGATTTCCATTAAAACAGATAATTTGAGAGAATTTGTGACACTATTGAAGATTTTTCATGAAGTTGATACAAATCAATTGATTCAATTGCGAGTCATGCTGAAGTTTGGGAACTCAGGAAATTATTTGAGGTGTACTATATTTCTATTTATCTACCAGGGGGTCATTAACAGAAACTTCATAAAGTTGCGAAATCGTTAATCAATTGTTGTAACCATGGATATAATGACGTCACAGTTAGAGAACAATGGACTTTACGAAATCTTAACTTTAAGAAGGTTCTGTTAATGGGCCCCAGCCTTACATCACTAGAGGATAATGAAAACTTAAAACACATGGCTCGAACATAAATAAAAGAAAATACAACAATTAAAATGCATCAACATGAAATTAATCACAATAAACATTGTTTTAATGAGCCAGTCTGATAATTTCCAATCAAAGTGACTCATTTTTAAATCAAAACAATACATAATCAAAATAAGAATTAAACATAAATATATACAAATTTCAAATTAAAAACACTGACTGACTTTTTAAGTTGAACTGAAGGATTATTACGGAGTCAAAAGTGATGATTCAGTTATGCTCAGAATATTGTAAAAATGATATTGGGCAACTTACATTTGATGATTTACCAACAAATCATAAACTATGTGCTTGCTTTTGTATACACCAACAAATCATATGCAAAATGTTTCAAGTAATCTGCATTGGGAACATGTAGGGCTTCAACATGCAAACAATCATCTTCTCAGTCTTAAATATTGTAACCTACAGAAATGAATCCTAGTTTCCTGAAAGTTAGTGGTAGCATACAATAATGGAGGACCATTTTATGGCATTTTATGTCATATTCACATATCTATGAGTTGAGCCTTGACAATTTCCAGCACTGTGTGCTACCTTTGGACATCTTCTAAAATATACCTCCTTACATAATATATGTGGTGAATTGTATTTTGCCATACAATTATATACCTTAGATG